AACATTGCCAAGAATTCTTGAGATAGTAGCCTCTCCTAATGGAGCAAAAGTAGACAAGATTTCTTTGCATTGTAGGGCATCAGCAGTGAATCCACAACCTAATTCTCCCATGAGATCTCCAACACTGATTTCCTTATCGATTTCAGCTAAGATAGCATCAAACTCGTTTTCAGCAGAATCAATGTGAAAATCCATGCTCCTAGAGCAGAAGAGGAAAAATGTTGAGAAACGCATTAGAAACATAAGGGATCAAAAAAGGAATAACAGATGAAAGTAAGTCATAAGCGGCACCTGAAAACATCAGCTTCATGAACTTGTTGAGAAAGCATAGGTGAAAGAGCAAAAGAGAAGTCATCTCTAGGTTGAGCAGAAGACAAAAACTGTAAGAAGGAATCCAAATGCATGGAAAGATCCTCAGATTTGTGGAGAAACAAAAGAACATTCTGAATTTGCTCAGTTGAATCAATCTGGGCAGTATTGGCAGAGAGTTGCTCAATCTCAGCCAATAGTAGGTTGCGTCCTGAAAAAGCCATAAAAAGGTAAGATAAAGGCAAAGAGAAATGAGAAGAAAGAGACGGAGAAGAGACGGGGCCATACCAGCCGTCTTTGCATCTAATCTTTCAAAATCAGTGAGGGCGAGAGCAAAGCCAATTTTCTCAGAGATAGAAAAATTCAAACAAGTAGTCAAATCATGGACGGAATCTTGAGTGAGCTCAACATCCTTGAGGGCGTGAGAAAGCAGGGTGGCGAGATTAGACAATTGCAGCACATGTTTAAAGACCAAGGATACAACCTTCTCAAGCTGCAACGAATTAGGATGGCTTCTCCGGACGGTGAAGCAATCGAGGCAGGTCTTGAGAACTGGAATGCTAGTCTCGACTCCAAAATCAACCAACTACCAATTGTAAAAAAAAAAAAAAAAAAACCCTTAGAACCACTTTATTATCTTAATTTGAATATCTTCGTAAGGCTGATCTCAGAACAGGAGGAGCAGAGAGAGAAAAACAAGTACCTGAGAAAGCTGGAGGGCGATGGAGTCGACATCAGAATCATGAAAGCTGTGGAGCAAGAACCGAGTATGACCGGCGACCTTGGAGGGAGTCATGAGTATGGGGGGAATCCGAGATCCGAAATGCTAGGGTACGACGAGAGGGGCTCTTCCTTCTAGGGTTTTCGGGGGGGTGGATCCAAGAGAGTAGCTATAGCTAGGGATTAACGAGAACGCTCTCTCTGAGATCCGATTGATGGATGATGATTCGAAAGCGTTGCAAAGTTTTGCTCTGCGATTTTGCGTTTTTTTTTTTTGTGGGGCTGTGGTGAGTGATTTCTGGCCTTTTTCCAGAGATATAATAACGTCGCCCGCCGCTCTGCTGCTATTAACAAGCCCATTCTTTTCGTAAATGGGCCTTCCATTACCGGACTCTTCTAGAGGCCCACATTACTCTCCTATAAAAATAAAATAAAAACAATCGCACTAACTCGTGTCGTCCGGATTTTCAATTGTCTTTGAATATATCCAACAAAGGAAAGTAAGCATATTCTTTTATTCACTAGATTGTGTACCCGCGCGTTGCGCGGGATTTAATTTAAAACTTTTACTTTTGAGTATAAATATAATCAGCTTAATCTTAAAATATTTTACTTTACTCACATGTATTATCTTTCCAAATTATTAAAAAAAATTTCACACTTTTCACTACGATTTTTTCGTTATCTCCTATGATTCACTCGTCGTCTCCCGATATCTACTCTCTTTTCTCCTTAGATCGTATCTATTTTCTCGTTCATATCTTTGAATACTCAATTTTTTTTTAAAATTTTATGATCTTTTTATTAAAGTGAATATCAGAAACAAAAATCTCGAGAGATGTTTGTTATAAGATTTTTTTGACCATGTTTGGGTGCATCTAAAATTGCTTTATAGACAAATCTCATATATGGACTCATTCATATTCATATTTTGCACCTTATCTTTCTACATATATAATTTAACGTATATTTTGATTCTAGATAGTATTCTTAATGTTGATTTTTCTAAAATGTGACATTTATGAACTCATAAAAAATATTCTAATTTTAAAATATATTTATTTTTTAGATAAACAAAATTCTTCTTAGTTCTAATGAAAAACTCTTCAATCTACCATTACTATTCTAATTTCCAAATAGCATTCTCAAATATTATTATTATACAGTTTTATTATTATATAAGATTATTTTATTTGTATTTGTGATGTTTAGCATAGTTTTTTGTTTTATTTCAAATCACCTTAGTTTTTTTCAATCTATGTTAATTTTCTAAACACTGATTAATATTTAATTTTTCATTTTAGGTATTCATTTTTTTTAAAACCAAAGCACCACTTTTTAACTTAGAAAACATTAATAATATAGAAAAATTAATTAATTTAAATATTTATATTGTATTATAATTATAAATAATAATATGTCGCAATCCTTCTTATTTTTTAATCGGTACTCACATTTTAAATGTCTATTTTCATGAAATAAGTAAAAACCTTTAAATTTGGTATTTTTTAACTCTTATTTTCTTTACTACTAATATATAATTGTAACTCTTAAAAATAATTGTGGTACCATTAAAATATATGATAAAATTTTGTTTTCTATCTCTAACAATTTTAAAATATTTACTCATATGTTAAAATATAATTATCTAATTTATATTTATTCAATCTCGATTTAAAATCTTCATATTTTACGTTGTATATTTATTTTTCGTTTTCTCATAATATTTCATTTAACTTTAATTAATTATTGTTTTTATTTAATGTGTGAATTAATTTTAGTTTAATATTTGTTGTTTTAATAAATAAGATATGTGGAGCCCACAAAAATGTAAAATATGATGACATGGATGCTGATGTGGACACCCTAGATGGAGAGAAGACTCTCTAATTATATATATAGATTCGTGTTGGGGGCTCATGATAATAAATATCATTTTCGCTCAACAAAAAAAAAAGCATCTTCTTCTGCTCTTTCTTCATCTTCATCATTGGCTTCTTTTCAAATATACGATCATCATCATTTTGATTCTCAACCTTTTTTAACCAGTACATAGAAAGCTATAAAGTAATCTCAAGCGGTAGGGTTGTCCACTTGTCTCGAATGATTATTATTAGATGCACTATTTACCACATTGCCATCCAAAATATTCTATCATCCCCTCTTATGTCTCTCTTCTTTCTAATTATATATTTACTGCTAACTTTTTGTCTTTTATATCAAATTTTATTTGCAAGTGTGTCACGAAAGACAGCTGGTCTAATCTTAGCTTGAATGATGTCTTTTTCTTTTGGTTCAACTTACGAATTGGAAATATAAATTAAACTTGTAAGTTGGAAAGAGCTAGACTTAAGAAAATGATGAACACGAAGAATTTCCTCCGAAAAAGAACCAAGTAAATCTTGAGGCCACTACCAGCAAGGATCACTTGGGTCCACTTCTCTCATTCACATGTTATATATCATAATTATTAAGTCCCCCTCCATTAAACTAGTTTATAAAATACAAAGAGATTAGAGAGAGGTGGGAACCTGAAACTCTAATTAAGGAATTGGTACCGAATTGCGTTGCGTACTAATGTACATGGTGAACCATCATCGTAAATGAATGATAGGTGGAAATAAATATATACTTTATAAGTTAAACGCAAAGGATCAGAGAGAGAGAGAGAGAGCAACATGGCCAACCAAACTCCAAAAATATCGCCTGAAATCTGTCACGTGGATCACCCTCCGACCGTTTATATTCCAGGCTAAGGAAACCACCGTGACCTTCACATCGTCGTTGATTTTGTCTCCCCTCTGATTCCTCCATCGTGTGATTTGTGCGTTTAATCAATTTTTTTACACTGCAAGTCGTCTAAGTTGCATCTCAAAATTTCCGTATTATTTAATTCCCCCCAAGATATAAAATAACCGGTTTTTAAGAAACATGCAAACCGCAATAAATATTGGAAAAGCAAACAATAAATGTGTACCAAATTGTATTTAACCTAACCCTCCTCATTAAATTCATCTCTATCGATCCATCAACATTATTTGACGTTCCATTAAATAAACTTTTGTCCAGCATCATATTGATATAAACAAATCAAAGTTACATACTAATGTTCTTCTTTAGCCACGTTTAGTACTTAACTAGTATGACGAATCAGTCTTGGAGACAAGTTGGACCCTACCAGAACTCATCGTCTATTGATCATAAGCCGCCGGACCAACGAAGACTCGCTAAAGAACAACTCCCACTAACTTATACGTTAGTGTGCGAGATATACAACATCACCACCAAGTGATAATCCCAATATATTTTTTCCTCTTTATGGGAAAGGGAGACAAAAGCAGTACTACTACTAAGTTGGATCCATTTTTTGGTGTTTTTAATTTAATTATTGTCGCAAAAACACTCTCTAAGTCGCACACCAGCGAGCGTTTAGTCGCGTCAACATCGTTATAAAGTATAAAACCGATGGTCGATCTGAGTTCTAATGAAATTGATGATGATAATATGATATACGTACAACATTTATTTTATTTGAAAAACCCCCTAGAATTTGATGGAAAGAAAAGACCGCAAGTCATTGCATTGTATGTTCCAAGTTAACTAAAAACACACGCGCTTGCTTTCCGTAGACGTGGAGATGGATATCCATCCAATTCCATACGGGAAGAGTAAAAACTAGAAAATGACAAGACATGGGAAAAACACAAAGGAAGGATAAAACAGTCATTTCACTAAAACTCCCCATTTTAAGGTTGGCTTTCTCTCAAAAACTGAAAGGTGACAACGACTGCAAGCAAACCTCTGGTCTACCTGTACATTTTACTAACACGCATAGTTGTATAATAGTATTTTTAAAGAAAATGTTATATATATAGAGGAGATGCTTTGGCTTGTGGGGAATAAATATAAGAGGGTAGTCTAACATCACCGCCTAACATATATAAATATATAATAAAGATTGTGAAGATCATGGAGAGAGTATGTTGCATGTGCGGCGACGTCGGTTTCTCCGACAAGCTCTTCAGCTGCGGGCACTGCCGCTGCCGCTTACAGCACTCGTAAGTAGTCCTCCTTTAGCATATAACTATTTACAGAGTGACCGTTCATGGCTATATATTGATGGGTTTCTTTTATTTAATTGATCATATATAGTTATTGTAGCAACTACTACAGCGAGTTTGCGGAGCCTGCAGAGATCTGCGACTGGTGCCGCAGCGACGACCGGAAGCTGGGCAACGTTGCTAGACATGGCGGCTCTTCTTCAAAGAAGTCTTCTTCTTCCGTTAATTATGAAAATGATGAGTTCACAAACCGACCAGACTATTCGTCCGGCCGCGGGATCAAGCATAACAATAACCATCATGATCAAGTGGCCAAAGGCGTTGCCGGAGCTGGAGGCGGAGTGCCGTCGCCTAAGACGGCCACACGAAGGTACAAGCTTCTCAAAGATGTCATGTGTTAGTTTAAACTGAACGAAAGGTATTAGAAAGATGTTATAATAATACACTCTTTGGAGAATGTGTGATTAAATTATATAGGTATATATGTATAATTAGCCACTACGGAGAGAACAAACAAAAAAAGCGTATTTGTTTGTTTTCATCCTTTTTTGTCCTTCTTACTTAATTTGTAAAATGAATGTATGTGTGGCGTGAGCTTGTGTATTCTTAATCAGCATAGTTATTAATTACTGTTATTTCCGTAAAAGTCTCCTTTTTCTTAAAAACCTTTTGTAAAAGTCTTTATTAAACTTAACATCCACGTACGTTCATTATAAATATTATTTCTTTTCTAAATTAGTTGATATATATATATATATATATATATATATAGGTATATATGGTTTTCTTAGGTTTCGTCGTTAAACACCATTAATTAATGCGTGTACAATGGAAAGTCATCATGAAAAATCTTTAAAATGATCAAGATAAATATCTGCAAACCCTAATTGTCAACGTACAATTGTGTGTGCGTGTGTGTACATTCACAAAATGAACGAGTACGTGATTTATAATTTGATATTGGGAATAATGTGTGGACAAATGGAATACGAACGGTGGGGAGAAAACATATCTAGAATGAAAGGAAGTGGGGGTACTAGCTAGCTAGTACTACAAGCACTTAGTATATGTTAATAACTAATAAGGGTCGGTCTAAATTCATCGATATCTCCTTTCTTGCTCCTATCCTTTCTACTACTACGTACTATATAATACATATACTATATGGTGTACCGACTGCGAATCGTACCAATCATGTCTAAACTTAATAGTTTAATATTATATTCAGCTATGTCGTGGCATTTCATACGAATAGCCCAATATTCGTTAAATAATTATACAAACACTGTTTATGAATACAGACAAGTAGCTAGCTCCTTGCTCAGTAATTAATGACACGGCTGTTCTGTTTTTGTTTTTATTTTATGATCCTGAAAATTTGAATTCAAGGAGTTAAAACAATCCCATTAGGCCATTCATATATATACCCAAAATAATGCATTTTCTTGCTAGGGAAAAGAAACAATGGGATTTAAATCATAGTGGGCTCATAATAACTTTTTGGGTTACTCTGATACTGGCCCATAAATCACAGCAGGTTTAGAAGAACTTTATTGCATCCATTTAACTTGTATTATCTATACCCATAAAAAAATATTTCGTAAATTATTATCTTTTAAAAAGTTTATTACACCATATTCGAAACTATAGGACACTTCGTACCTTTTAAGCTCCTTACAAAAAAAGTTGAACCTCCCACCATTAGGTTAAAAGCTCAATGATCTCCTACTATGTGCTTGATCCAGTTGAAAACTTTACTCCGACTTCAAATCGAATCCACTCCTAACTCCAGAAGCAAGAACGGACGGATTACGAAGTTGATCGCGTCATATAGCCCTTCGGGCAACCAATCACACAAAAGTTTGACTTTGTTCTCATATTTGAGAATATGTTTGATTCGGTGATATAGTATTTATTGATAGAATATTTAAATTTCCATGATTACTACATAGCGATCCCAAAACTTATCTCTAATCACACACTTACCTATCTTTTTCTATTTCATGGTAGGAGCAATGGAAAGATCTTTTCCCGTCCATAGTTGCTCAGGCTTCAATGATGTTGTCTGATGGTGATCCTCCTAATATCGATGAACGTACTCTACATGCACAAGTAGAGGTATGAAGAGACCTCTTAAACACACAAGATTATATTATGTTCTTATTTATTCAAATTTTTTTTTTTTGACAGATCAAGGCTGAAATTCAAGGACTTTGTCCTTTGATGGGTGTTAGGGAGATTATTTTCTTGAGGTCCTGCCATACTATAAAAGAGAGAAAAGCAGTGATTGTTATCGACCTCCCCAGTCCGGGGAGGTTAATCAGCAACCCATTGCGCATCCAACAACCTTTTCTCCGAAGCTGCATATTGGAACAATCTTCTCTTGGTCAATTAAAAGTTACATAGGTAGAAATCTTTCAGATTCGCCGTGAGGTTGTCCACCCGTAGTACCTTGAAGCCTCGAGAAATTTTATGAAAATATTTGACTATATCGATTAATGTGTCATCAAATCTACTATATTCGAATGATCAATGCTTTATTTATTTATTATTATTTTTTTGTAGTTACTTGCTTATGTTTGATTATAATTGATTTGATTTTGTGTCTAACCAATATCACTCTCGTAACAAATTTCATGTGCCGTGTGGAACTAAAAATAGGTTTTATCACGGTATTAAGGAAACGATGCGGCTCTAAGGAATGATTACCTTGACATGTACATATACAGAACAGAGTTGCATGTTGAATCATTCATGTGATTTTTGGTTAATGAGTACGCTTTGGTTTAATGGTAATAAAAGATGGAGACAGTTCGGTTTAATTCGATTTTAGTTACGTTGTGTTTAATTTGGATTTGGTATTAAGATTTTTAGTCAAATACAAAAAAAAAAAAAATACTATTATAAAATCTAATAACAAAAAAAAACATTAAGAATAAGGATAAAAAATTCTAATGGAAATTGGGTATTTAAATAGGGGTCTGATCACAACTAAGAGCAATTAAAGCCCATTGGGCGTTTGAAAGTACGAACATTCCAAACAAAATCAGACTCTCTTCTTCTTCGACCAGAACAGAGTGAAACGCATCCCAAAAATGTATTCCTCCTTTTTATTATGTAATTGAAAAAAAAAAAAGAGATTTATAATCTGGTAAAATGTCCACCAGGAAAATGGAAATAATTGGAGAAAAAGACAGATTGCAAATTTGAACAAGAGAGAAATTTACCTTTTTGAATTAGCGAAGAAGACCAAATCCATCCCACCAGCTTCAGATTAGTTTTCTTTTGTTGCAATCTCCAAAGTTTTCGTATTTTACCAATTCACAGAGTGAAATCATCCGCGAATCGAATTGGGGTCTTTTGTTTTCCTGGGGATTAAAAAAAAATGGATTTCTAGGGTTTACCCATTTCTTTGATCGACTTCTTAGCTTTTCTCAAGGAATCGGGGTTTTTTTTTTTTTTCTTACTGGAAAGTTTGTTCCTTTGAACATGTACATCGAAGAATTAAAGGAGGACGGCGAAGAGGTTATTAGCCAAAGGGAGTGTGAGAAATCGATAGGGATTGTGTCATGTACTAGTAGTAGTACTAGTACCACAAGTATTGATTTAGGTGTTTGGAATGCGAAACGTGCTCTTGTTGGAGCTGGCGGTCGCGCCCTTTTCTACCCAACATTGCTCTACAACGTTCTCCGGAACATGGTTCAGTCTGAATTCCGATGGTGGGATCTGGTCGATGAGGTAAAAACACTTTCTTTCATACAGTATTCTTTTGTGTGTGTTCCTTTCTGGCTCCTAAGCTCTGTTGTGTTATCAGTATGTATTGCTTGGTGCTGTGCCTTTCCCCACTCATGTTCCACTTCTCAAGGAACTTGGTGTTTATGGCGTTGTTACCCTCAACGAGCCTTTTGAGACTTTGGTTCCCTCATCTCTCTATCATGTATGTTCCATTCTCATCATCACCAATCATTCTTTATCTAAATGCATGCTCTAATTCGATTTCCTACACCTTGTAGGCTCATGGTATCAACCATCTAGTGATTCCCACTAGAGATTATCTCTTTGCTCCATCAGTCAGGGATATCTGCCAAGCTGTTGATTTTATTCACAGTAAGTTACATGGTCCCATTTCTCTTGGTTGAAATTTAAACTTGTATTGCATGATCCCTCATTTGCTCCTCCTATTATTTTGGGAAGAGAATGCGTCAAGTGGCAAGACTACTTATGTTCACTGCAAGGCTGGTCGCGGACGCAGTACAACCATTGTGATCTGTTACCTGGTTGGCCATCCATCTATCCTCAACCATTCTACTATAGGGTTACTAGTTTTCTTTTATCAAGGATACTATTTTCTTACTTGTGTACCCATTTACCCGATAGGTGAAATACAGGGAAATGACACCAGAGTGTGCATATGAGTACATTCGGTCCATAAGGCCGCGGGTCTTACTTGCTTCGGCTCAGTGGAAGGTGCACTTTCAATATCCATCCCCAGAGCTGCATCTTTACAAATTAGTGTGGTTGCTTTGTTACCGCAGTTGCTAATTCATATATTTTGAACGGCAGGCTGTGAAGGAGTTCTGCAGTTCCAGAATGGGAAGGAAGGCAAAAGAAAGCAGCGTAATTGTGAAGCGAAGAAGCTTAGGAAGCGAGGCTGAGAAAGAGATGTTGTCATTGTTCGATGATGGGTCGGTGGTGGTGGTAACAGAGTCAGATCTGGCTGGGTATGATGAGCCTCGAAACATATGTGGTGATGCTTCATGCGTGGATGTGTTGCCAGAGCTGAGTTTGGCTTGCAAGGTCCAGTTTGCAAGCCAAGCTGCATTGGCAAGGATCTCATGCTTGTGGCTTAAATCACCAAGGAGACAAGTCCTTGTTGATCAGTTGCAGAGTCTTGGTGTCAACATCAAAGTCTGTTAAGTTTCAGACTATGGTGGCAAGTGAAAAGTAGGATGTGATACTCATTTTGAGGCAAATGTACTTGTATCCCTTGTACAAAAACATTGATATCTTCATTTACAGTGGGTAATTGTGTTAAGATGACTCTTATCGTTTTTTTCACTCAAAAGTCAAAACATACCCAAGGATACTCTTTATGTTTCTTGCTTGGTCCATCATAGCTGGGTCAACCTATCCACCAAAGCTTGGTCCATCATAGCTTTAATCACCATCATCAAGGTCATAATTATTCCAGGGCATAAATAGTTAAAAAAGTCATGTTGTACTCATGGAAGCAAGATTCTTGTCTTGCCTTGTTGATTTGTTTCTATAAAGTAATAGATAGAGAAGAAACATGACTAAAATAAGGCGTTTGCACTTCGCAGCACATCAAACGCCAAAATGCAGGGTTATCGTATCTCAGATCATCTATTCTGGATTCAATTCACCGACATCTACTGCATGATGATGAATCGGAGAGGGCAACTTCAGAGTGAGGAGAAGGCCGGTGGGTAAATATGTTGCTGAGAGATCAATGACCCCAACAAGCATGGAGCCAGGATTTGGCTCGGCACTTACAGTACCGCCTAGGTAGAAGCTGTCTAGGACTAAGCAGGTTTCAAGATGTGAGGGGCCAAGGTGATGGCTAGTGGTCAAAAGACGGAACACTGACATAATATCTGTATCATTCCATATGAGCCCAGCGCCTAGCTTTGCTCAGACTACTGATTACTGAATTACTAAATTCAAGGCCTTTTTTTAATATAATAAGAAGTCAATTTGCTACTGAGAGAGGGAAAACAAACATAACAAGGGGTTATTGTGAGAGAGAACAGAGGATTTTATACAAGTTGAAAGATCCGCCATCAAAATCATCATAATCTACTCTCGGTAAATGGAATGTCAGTCCACACTGACCATTTGCTCTCACTTGCTCCTCTACCTTGTTACCGGATGCCTCCTCCTGCATTCCAAAGTTGAGTGTGTGAGTATGTTATATCATCTCCTTTCTACTTATCATCTCATACTTAAACAGGCTTTGTATCATATAGCTCATATTTAATGTTCGTTACCTCTTTGGTCGGATCCCATCTTCTTCGTAGTCCATCACTCCACTTGGTTCCCCAAACATCTCCTTATTCCCTCTGATGTCAACATCCCCCTGTCCACAATGTAAGTAAGACTACATCGACCACCACCCTTCCCAATCACATTTCAGACACATCAAACCAAATGAACCTTGTTTCATTTCATTCCACAATCAGATAATAACCAAGTACTACATTCCAACCACTTAATTTCCTCTAACTTTAACACTTCACTAAAATTTAACGAAACAGCCGTTTATGATTGCTTTCTTTGTTTTTTTTTAATAAAAAACTTCATAACAAATGTTTAGATCCAAAATGTAAGATTTCTTGTCACACCACGAATTGTTCAAAAAACCTGCCAAAGTTTCACTTGTTATTCAGAAACATAACTTTTTAATCTATGAGACAGGGCTGGACTTGGAAAGCTCAAAGACCTTGAGAGATTTCTTTATGAAGTCTCTCCCCTCCCCCTTACATAGACCTAAACTATTAATAAGAAACCCACTACAATTCTCTGAAGAAATATAAGACAGAATAGCTGACTGGACTCAAACTCATGGTTACAAGAAAGTAACCAAGAAAGAATGTAACCATAACTAGTTACATAAAATAATTAGTTGGGAATAGTGAAGCCCTTAGGCCTCCAAGCGCATCATATGTACCACTGACCTTCATGGACAGAGACTTCTTCACTTCTTCCACCCCTTCTTCTGCTTCCTTACGATGTTTTTTGTCCATCTCACTCATACTGTCCGCCCATTTGATCTTGTCTTGAATTGAAATGAGCAGATTCTCTGACGTGTTCAACCTACACATCAATTTGCGCCAACACATTAACAGATTCACAATTAAGGTAACGTACGGACTCTTTCATGAAGAAGGACATTTCACATAGAACTTAAGAGTAGGTCGTGAAGGTAAAATCATTAGCCATATATTCTAACATCACGTACAAGTTCTATTAATTAGATATAGAAGGCAAAAAATCCTGGAACTAAGGGTAGAAGAAAACTACCAGTTGGACAATGTGTCTAACATATTCCCTAGTTGTCCTGGCCTTAGATCCCTACCAGCTGCAAACGGAACCTGCATGGTTGCAAGATATATGATGTTTAAAGAGGGGCTCGTAGGTTTACAAACAAAGCACAATGGTTAAATAGGAAGATGAGGCACAAAACACACCTCAAAACATCTTTTTAACTGATCCAGTTTTCCTCTAACTATACCCTGAAAAATTGTAAAAAAAATCAGCACCATGCATTGTCACAGTTAGTTGTCTGTGCAACTTGCTGGTAAATTTAAAATAGAGAGTACTCTGGGAAGAAAATTGCTCAGAGTACTCACCGCGTACATGCATTCATTGATAAGAAAGTCCTCGAGTTGGCGAACATTGGTAACATCTAACTCGACCATGAGTGTATCATAGGGCAAAACCTATGGGGAAAGATATTCAGTAAGAAAAACAGGGGAGTCTTACAAATAGATAATGGAAGAGAGTAGATAGAAATCATGAAACTCAAGAAATATACCTTGTTAGACTCAGCAAGGGTGAGCACAGTGAGCTGCTTTAGCTTGAGAATTTGGTCAGGGGACAACTGAGGAATACGGGTAGCATTGCCTAGTGTTTGAATGAAATCAAGTTAAGAGGAGAATATGAGAGGGAAAACGAATAGAAATATCAAAGGTTGGAGGAGTCATACATTTGTAGTCACCCCAGGTGCCATGGGCAAACAACCGCAGTACATCCAGGTACACAGAATCTGTGGTTCCTTGAAGCTGCACAATGCATTATTGTTTAAGAGACCAGTTACGAATAACCTAATACTATGATTTATGATCTATGATTCCCACATATACGAACAGACATGTAAAACCCTAGATCGTGGAGTTAGGACCCAAAATCAAAGCATATAATAGAACCTGGGCAACAGTTGGTAGAGCCAAAATCTCGGAGAAAGCGAAGAGAGAAGGATGCGATGTGGCTTCGATGATGAGAGGACCGAGAGCCTCGGGTTTGCAAGTAGAAGCTCGCTTGACGAGCTGATCAATGATCTCGGCTTGCTTCTGCTCGATATCCATCTTCCGAATCGATTTCCGGTGGTTTAGGGTTTTCTTTCCAGCACTACGAAAATCCGATTTCTTTCTTCTAACTTTTTCTCTTTTTCTGTTTTTATATTTAACTTTTTCTTTTTAGATGTGACCGACGTGTCTTTTAATAAAAAAGGAAATTACAATTGAATTGGGCTCAAATGTACTATATGGGCCAAGGCCTACTAAGAGAAAGATTAGAAACGATCCCGGGGATCAGAGCAGAGCAACTTGGAGAATTTCTTCCTTGGACGACGATGGCAGAATCTCGCAGCAACAGAGCGGCGGTTCAGGCTACTAACGACGATGCATCCGCCAGTAAATTGTACGCTACCTCTTCTTTACTTGTTTTGTTTTCGCATCAAATATATATATATAGATCAGTTGCTGATTTGCGTTATGCATTTTGAAGGTCTTGTGTCAAAAAGGGATATATGAAAGACGACTATGTTCATCTCTTTGTGAAAAGACCTGTTCGAAGATCTCCCATCATTAATCGAGGTAAGCTGCCTACCTTTGTTCCGCCATTCTTATGTGTGGAAGGACGAGCTGCCTAACTGACTCTACTGCTTTGCCTTTCCTAGGTTACTTTTCCCGTTGGGCTGCCTTCCGAAAGCTTATGTCTCAGTTTCTCGAATGCGGTACTAATAATGCCAAGACACAGATACTCTCACTCGGAGCTGGCTTTGATACTACGTTTTTTCAGTTGCTGGTGCGTCTTTCTTTTTTCTCCTTTTTACCAGATTCTCCATCCATTCCTCCTATTTACTTGCAATTCGGCTCCTTATTTTTGTAGGATGAGGGGAAAGGGCCCAATCTCTATGTGGAACTTGATTTTAAGGAGGTACTCTCCATTTACTCATTGCATTTTACTGGATCAGTGCTGAACAAAGTATCCATCATTTGTATTTGCTTCTTAACTATAGGTCACAAGCAAGAAGGCTGCTGTTATAGAAAACTCCTCCCAACTCAGGGACAAACTAGGACCCAATGCATCTATTTCAATTGGTAAGATGTAGAATGTAGAATGATCCTTTTCATTATGATGCATTTCACCTGCTTCACTCCAGCTATTTCTGATATTTTTCTTCATCGTCATTCTGTCTGCTTGTACAAGCTACTAATGCAACCCACTTTTACTTTGTACCGTTAGCTTGTACTTTCGGTTGCTTACTCCACCTCGTTGTGCTGTTTATCTCTGCAGAGAAAGGACAAGTGCTCAGTGATCATTACAAGTTACTTCCAGTTGACCTGCGCGATATACCAAAATTAAGTGATGTTATATCCTTTGCAGATATGGATCCAAGGTATGCATGAATGATTTTTATTTATTTTACACACTGTTATGACATATATCTCCAACCCTCAACCCTCTGTTTCTATCGGGGTTAAAGATTATGGTAACACCGTAACAGATACTGACTTGTGATAGACCTACTTGATCCCTAATATCATTATCAGTCTGCCGACATTTATTATTGCAGAATGTGTTTTGATATATCTGGACCCCGATTCAAGCCGTGCCATCGTCAATTGGGCGTCAAAAACGTTTTCAACTGCAGTATTTTTCTTATATGAGCAGGTTTTCTGGCATATTTAGCTCATCTGTGATTTTCCTTGTCTGCATAATATTGCAGATACCAATCTTACTGCTTATGTGTATAACTCGCCGGGTTTCTGTTTGCAGATCCATCCAGATGATGCATTTGGACATCAAATGATTAGAAATTTGGAGGTAAGAATGTGTACTCTACTACTCTAGTTGCAGCGACATCTTCATGAGTAAAGATAACTTGTTGAGATTTTTGTCAATCTATGGATACTAGTAAGACTTTTAAATATTCTGGTATTGCCACATGGGTTCATGTTGTACTGATCAATTACCTTCATTTAAGCTTGTTCTGAAAGCTTAACGGTGTTTCTGTGCTTCAGAGTCGGGGATGTGCACTCTTAAGCATTGATGCATCACCAACTTTACTTGCAAAGGAGAGATTGTTTCTTGATAATGGATGGCAGGTTTGTTTTGCAGTTAGAATATTATGATAATTTTTAATGCAATCTGATATGCGTTATCATGCCCGTAATCTTGCATTGCCAAACAGTTTGACATGCGTTAAATTTAAATGCAAATAAGGAAGAATTGGAGTGCAAAGTCATCTAACAAAAACATGCTTGCTAAAATTCGATGCTAGGGCACGGCCCATTTCTTGTATAATTCTGTCGTTTGTGATGTGTCAAAGGTTATCATCGTGACATTATATTGACATTCAAACCAGAAATGGTTTGAAGTACCAAATGCACTTTTCAGTCTTTCATTTTGGTCTTGATGGCTGGTTGTAGCTTGAACAATGTGCATGTCTGATTAAAGCAGGGCTAACTTTCAAGTATAATTTATGATATATGGACTCTAATATCTTTACCCTTTTCTTTGTTCTGGCGTTTCAGAGAGCTGTTGCCTGGGACATGCTAAAAGTGTATGGTAGTTTTGTTGATACTCAAGAAAAACGCAGGTCAGTGCTTTACTTTTGTTAAAATTGTGTAAGAGCGTTATGTTATTCATACCTAGTCTCTGGTCTGAACACTTTTGGAAAAGTTCCCTCTGTCAAGAAATATCTAAGATATGTTTTGACTTTTGAGCTTTCCATTGTTTTTAGATGAACCTCTTCCTATATCCTGTTTTGGCTCTCTTGTTTCTTCAATTCATGAGCTTTCATTATAAAGCCTACTTCTCTTGGAATCTATCTTTAATGAGAATGTCGTGTTTCTAGGATCGAGCGATTGGAGTTGTTTGACGAATTTGAAGAGTGGCACATGATGCAGGCAAGTCTGTCTTCACCTTATTAACTTGATTTTGCACCTTATGTATGTATGTATGGGAAAGTAAAAAAAGACCAAAAGATGATTTGTGTTGAATATCAACGGTATCCATTATATATTTTCGATGATGCATGCGTCAGATCTTGTTCTAGTGTGTAGGTAGTTTGATAGTGTTTGTGGGTAAGCCAGTTGAGCATTCTTTAACGGTTTTGTTTTCAACAGGAACATTACTGTGTCACATATGCTGTCAATGACGCAATGGTACGTACATGAGACATGCTCAAGTATCTACAAGTCATTGTGCTTTTTAGTTTCGTAAGACAGTAAGAATATATGATGAGGTTGATAAAGAAGATTCTGGACTGTTTTTTTTTTTTTTTGATTAAAAAAATGCAGGGAATATTTGGAGATTTTGGTTTCACAAAAGAAGGGGGCGGTGAAAGAATGAGTAGCTCATCGGCATCATCACCTTGAAAAAAGGAGGAGGGTTTGTAACTGGTACGTTAGTTTAATACAGTTGGAGGAAAACAAACCCCTGGTGGTGGGTAGAATCTGATAGTGCTTGGTTTACCTAATTTGTAAGGAATGATGATGGGTTGGTTAAAGAGACGGGGATGGTGATTGATTGCACAAAAGTTAGAAGAGGCCTTTCTTTGGGTGCTGCTGAGCAGAAGAAACCAAGGAAACACGAACTTTGTCTTGTCTGCATAAGAAATGTTGTCATTTGATGCACGTGTGAATTCTGTGCTTTGAATTTAGTTTAGGCCCATGGTCTCGAGATATGTGGGCCGGGCCTCCCTTTCCTGATTTTTTTTAAATCGTTGGGCTATGCTCTCTACTAATATGTCTTGGTAGCACCAACAAATAAGCAAGCTTCCCACTTTTGAAACCTTTTCCTATGCGTCTTTGTACAAAGAAAGAAACCTCGGTCAAGAAACGCTCTGAAGGATGTCTGTTTCCTTTTTTTTCTTCTTCTTTCGGTGGTGAAAAATTTATCTTTTTATGAAAACACAAAAAAGTTTTTGAAAAAAGCGAAAAAAAAAATCAAAAAGACAGAGAGAGAGAGTGTGTGTGTTGTTGTTGGCCATGGGATGCACGGCCTCCAAGCTCGACAGTGAGGATGCTGTCCGTCGCTGCAAGGAGCGGCGCCGTCTTATGAAGGACGCCGTCTACGCTCGTCACCATCTCGCCGCCGCTCACTCTGACTACTGCCGCTCCCTTCGTCTCACCGGCTCTGCCCTCTCCTCCTTCGCCTCCGGCGAGCCCCTCTCCGTCTCTGAGAACACTCCCGCTGTTTTTCTCCGCCCTTCCTCCAGCCAGGACGCGCCACGTGTCCCTTCTTCCCATTCCACAAAGCCCCCTCCGCCCATCCGCAGCAAGCCTAAGCCTAGGAGGCTTCCCCACATTCTCTCCGACTCCTCTCCTTCTTCCTCTCCGGCCACCTCTTTCTATCCCACTGCTCACCAGAACTCTACCTACTCTCGCTCTCCTTCTCAAGCTTCCTCTGTCTGGAACTGGGAGAATTTCTACCCTCCCTCTCCTCCCGACTCTGAGTTCTTCGAACGCAAAGCTCGCCAGAACCAGAAGCACCGTCCTCCTTCCGACTACGACGCCGAAACTGAGAGATCCGACCACGATTACTTCCACTCCCGGAGAGATGCCGCCGAGGAAGTTCACTGCAGCGAGTGGGGCGACGACCACGACCGTTTCACTGCCACCTCTTCGTCCGACGGAGATGGGGAGGCCGAAACCCACGTTTCCAGATCCGGTATTGAAGAAGAAGAGCCTGTGAAACAAGAGCAAGACCCAAATGGCAAAGACAACTCTGACCATGTTACCACTTCTTCCGACTGCTACAAGACCAAATTGGTGGTAAGGCACAAGAATTTGAAGGAGATCCTCGACGCCGTTCAAGACTACTTCGACAAGGCTGCCTCCGCTGGGGACCAGGTCTCCGCCATGCTTGAGATCGGCCGGGCTGAGCTCGACCGCAGCTTCAGCAAGCTGAGGAGTAAGTAGTCTACTAAACTAACTAAGATGTAGATGATGATGCATTGAAACACCATCTCATTCTCTTACTCTCTATATCTCTTGTCTGCAGAGACGGTGTATCATTCAAGCAGTGTGCTTGAGCAACTTGAGCGCAAGCTGGACCTCAAAACCCCCATTGGCAGTCAAATACAAGCTCGATGCATCTACCCTGAATGATGAACATGGCGGCCTCAAGAGCCTCTGCTCCACTCTAGACCGACTCCTCGCTTGGGAGAAGAAGCTTTATGAGGATGTCAAGGTACATTTCCTGTTTTCAGCTTACCAACGGTAACTCCTCATAAATAAACTTATGAATTCAAATATAGGCAAGAGAAGGAGTTAAGATTGAGCACGAGAAGAAGCTGTCTGCGCTGCAGAGTCAGGAGTACAAGGGAGGCGATGAATCCAAGCTAGACAAGACTAAAACTTCCATAACCAGATTGCAATCACTCATCATTGTTTCTTCAGAAGCTGTTTTGACCACGTCTAATGCCATCCTCCGCCTCCGGGACACTGACCTTGTCCCTCAACTTGTTGAACTCTGCCACGGGTCAGTCTTTTTTTGTCCCTTGAGGGCTGGTTCGGTTTGTAAACATATCAAAACCAATCACAGATAAGGGTCAGATGTGCGAATTAGGCTGAGTTATGTGATTGAAGGCCACGCTGCCTTGGTCTAGGCTTGTTTATATATGCTTCTGCAGACTCATGTGAACTCATCTGAAATACCAAACCATTGCTGTTCTGCCAGTGGGGGGTTTTGTAGGCAAGTTCCAAGTAAAACTAGAGAGGATTTGTATGTGTCTCTAACCACCATGTGTCACTTGAAATGCAGATTAATGTACATGTGGAAGTCAATGCACGAGTACCACGAAATCCAGAACAACATCGTGCAACAAGTCCGTGGCCTGATCAATCATACAGAGAAAGGTGAGTCAACATCAGAGGTACACCGGCAGGTGACGCGGGACCTAGAGTCAGCTGTCTCCTTGTGGCATTCGAGCTTCTGTCGCATCATCAAATTCCAGAGGGAGTTCATATGCTCTCTCCACGGCTGGTTCAAGCTCAGTCTTGTTCCCCTTAGCAACGAAGACCCAAAGAAGAAGCGGCCAGAGTCATTTGCCTTGTGCGAGGAGTGGAAGCAGAGCCTGGAACGGGTGCCTGACACTGTGGCGTCAGAAGCCATAAAGAGCTTTGTAAACGTGGTCCATGTCATATCAATAAAGCAGGCGGAAGAGGTGAAGATGAAGAAACGCACGGAGAGTGCAGGAAAGGAGCTGGAGAAGAAAGCATCCTCACTAAGGAGCATAGAGAGGAAGTACTACCAGGCTTACTCGACGGTTGGGATAGGCCCTGGACCGGAGGTGTTGGACGCACGGGACCCGCTTTCTGAGAAGAAATGTGAGCTGGCGGCATGTCAGAGGCAGGTGGAGGATGAGGTAATGAGGCACGTGAAGGCTGTGGAGGTGACACGAGCTATGACTCTCAACAATCTGCAAACCGGCCTGCCCAATGTATTCCAGGCCTTGACCAGCTTCTCATGTCTCTTCACTGAATCCCTACAGACTGTCTGTTCTCGTTCCTACTCCATCAACTGATTATGGCCAAGTTTTTTTTTAGTTAAGCTCTCATTAGTGTATCATGTAAATTTCCAAGTGCTTCTCTTTAAAATTTGAGGATTGATTAACTTGACCGTGAAGAGTTATAAATCATTTATCAAAGTCCAGTGGTTTATTTGCGGAGACACACTTTCTCATTAATTGCATAAGCAGAAACGGCACCTAACTTATGGGCCAACGGTGGCCCGCCAAATTGAATACAAGGGGTAAGAAATGGGCCAAAAAAGTGAGCCCAAAGAGACCGATCGTTTTTGACTTAATGGCCGTTGACGTTGACATCGTACGCCGCACCGCCAAACAGCAACAACAACACTTTCCCCTTTCTCTCTCTCTCTAACATGGCGATGCTTTCTACTGCTTCCGTTTCGGGGAGCGTCGACCTTCCTCGGGGAACCATGAAGGTTGAGTCGTCTGCGTCTCCGGAGGTCGTTTCCGATCTCCCACCATCGTCCCCCGAGGGATCACCTGATCGCCATGACCCTTCCAGTTCTTCTCCGAGCCCCAGTCGTGGTGGGGACAATCAGGTAGGTATCTGTCGAATTCTTTCTTCTTCGATCTAAACTTGCTCCTTGTTTATGATCTGGATTTCTTCTTACTCGTTATAAGTCTGAAGTCATATCGAAGAGTGAAGAGTATCGGCAATTATTTCGGCTTCCAGCTGACGAAGTAAGTATTGCCTCTGTCTTGAATTCCACAGAACTTCTTCTCCACAGAAATTCTGACACCATTTCTTCCGAATTTGTGTAGATCCTTGTTCAAGATTTTAACTGTGCTTGTCAGGAGAGTATTCTTATGCAGGTACTTTTTTTTTTATCTCTCTTTGCCTCTGTCTTGGATCTTTTTCAATACTAACAAATCTTGTAATCAATTCCTTCCTTTTGTTGCAGGGTCATATGTACCTCTTCATCCATTATATCTGCTTTTACTCCAACATCTTTGGTTATGAGACCAAGGTACCATACTTGCTGTCCTCCACTCACTTTTCTTTTTTTTTAACAATTCAATATTGATCGGAACTCTTGTTGCAGAAAATTATTCCATTTGCGGATATATCTTGTGTTAAACGAGCAAAGACTGCTGGTATTTTTCCTAATGCCATTGAGATTTTAGCTGGAGGGAAGAAGGTACCTCAACTTCGCTCTTGCTGTTTATTCATTGTCTGAACTCGATTTTGGTTGCTCATCTTTGTACCGCATTCTCTCCCAGTACTTTTTTGCATCATTTCTTTCCCGTGATGAAGCTTTCAAGCTTATCCATGATGGATGGTTGGAATATGGTAGTCCTGTCAAAGCACAAGGCGAGATTCAGGTGACCGACCAGCAGGTGCATACACACTCTTATTTACTGCTTCAGCCTCCTTTCCAGCTCCTTTTTGCTCATCTTTCCTAGCTTATCTCTTCAGGATTTTTTATCTGAGTCCCAAAACCAGGTAAATGATGGACTTGTTAAAAGGGCACTCAGTTCCATGGATTTGGCCAATGAACTAGATATTCCATTGCCGTACGTTTTTCTCTTCCATATGGTCTTCCTTCTTTCTGTTTCTTACTGCTTTATCCCTCACTATATTTCCTTCTCAGGGATGAAAATCTTCATCTTTCCGGCAGTTCCAGTCTTCCTGTCATTAGTCAGAATGGCCTTCCACCTTCATCCGTTCAACGGCATGCAGAACCAGATGTAGATGTCGTGCCGGCCAATACTTTCAACTGGAAGCCTGAAGATATAGATGCACCTAAATGTAGTTAAACTCCTTCCTCGCTTTTACCTTAGTTCTTTTTGGTGGGTTTGGGTAGTGTGATAGATTCTCTTTTTCAAGTCAACTGTTTGAGGATGTGAATGCTAGTGTTTTCAGTAAATTCAACGGGTTTTTTTTTTTTTGCTGGGGTAACCTGTTGGTAAAGAGTATTAACAATGCAAACGCTTGGGTTTCTCCTAACTTTAGACCGAAGTGCTGGTTCCTTTAAAGTGGACGATCAGTTAACTTCTTGCTGTTTCTAGGTGCATGTCATTATGTGTCTATCTTTTAACTTGTTTTCTTTGCAATATAAATAGTTTGAAATTTAAATGGTCAGTGGGGGAAACGGTCTCTTAATGGTTTTTCTATATAAGGCCTATCGGAATGGGGTAGCTTAGCCTTTTATGTTCTTGTCTTTTGATGGTACTTCACAAGTTGCACTAGTTCTCAGTTTATCCCAACAAGCTTGCACTCAGTATGGAGATCCTATGTTACTGAACCGGTTATTTCGTTTATGCGTACATGATCTCTCATCTATTTCTTTTGGTTATTGTGATCTCTTTTCTTCTTCTCATTTGTAATCACCACACAAATTTTGTGTTCCTTGCATGCAGTGTCATCTGATTTTACAAAGGTAGCAGAGGCAAAGTTTTCGGTAATGTCACGTTCTTTGTCTTATCAGCTTGACGAAATTATGGAACCATTCTCATTCAAATTTATGAGAATATAAACATTAACTGGATGCAGAAGTTTCATATGTACCTAAATAGAGTTTAGTTTATGTTTGCAGATTCCAGTAGAAGAGTTCTTTAGATTGTTTTTTTCAGATGGTGCTGTCAGTTTTGTTGAATCTTTCCATAAAAATTGTGGAGACAAAGGTAAAGCTATAAGTGATGGAATTATTTTGCTCCTGTGTTTAGCTGTTTTCGTATGATTTCTCTCTCTTTGTCAGTGTTTTTTTAACCAGAAGAGATCTTTGTACTTGCAGAGTTTAGGTGTACCTCTTGGCAACCTCATGAAAAGCTTGGACACACCCGCAATGTCTCATTTCAACATCCGATAAAAATTTATTTTGGTAATATTCTTCTTTCCTATAGATAAACAGTACTAGATTATGGTTTATATCAAATATGTGTATGCATGACTCTCGGCTTTCGTTTAAAGGTGCAAAGTTTGGTGGCTGCCAGGAGTCACAGAAATTTCGGATGTACAGAGATAGGTATAGAAATTTTGTATTGTTTTTTGGTTTTATTCTAGATCGTCAAAGCAAAGCTAATCCGAACTCATGCATGCTTATCCTCTGTTGTCTAATATTGTAATTTCCTTTACTAGCCATCTGGTTATTGAAACATCACAGGAGATCAGCGATGTGCCTTATGCAGATTATTTTACGGTAGAGGTAGGGGGAAATTTACATCAAATGCGATCAGTATTTTGCTGGTTGATGTGTGTTACCTGTGAAAATTTTAACCTTTGGCTGATTCCAGGGAGTCTGGGACTTGAAAAGAGATTGCAGAGACTCGATAGAAGGTTGTATATTGGATGTTTATGTCAATGTGGCCTTCGCTAAAAGAACAGTGTGGAAAGGTTTGTTAAGCCTAATTTACTCTTCTTTGTCCTTGATTTTTTTCACCTTGCCTCCTATCAATGAAGAAATTCAACTAATAGTTCAAGAGTGTTTGCTGCGGAATCTCGTTCTTATAGATTTGGAAATGTTTCAGCTTTGTTGAATTTGATGGTTGTTGAATCTGGCTTGACGTCTATGAGTTCTTACAGGGAAAATAGTGCAGTCTACTTTGGAAGAATGTAGAGAAGCTTATGCACATTGGATAAGAATGGTACTTGATCAGGGGCCATTGGGTCAACATTTTGTTTCTTTCAGTTTCTGCAGGAATTTAATCAAGTTTCTATATATACTTATTTATTATTATCTTTTAAGGCACATGAACTGTTGAAGCAGAAGAAGCTGGAGAACCAAGAAGGTTAGTGTTGTTGACTGGTGATTAACAGAAGCTTTTTCCGTGAAGAAAGCTGGCTGAAACCATATTCTACAGGGAATAAGTTGATTGAGGATGGTGCACCGCTAGCAGCAAAGGAAGAAAGAGTATCTGAATGTGAAGAGGAGGGGAAGGTGGAAATGGTGGGAGAAGGGGTAGTGAAAAAAAGCTTAAAGGAAGCATGGGTGAATCTGATATCATTTGTGAAGAGGCAAAGCGGGACAAGGCAGGTTATAGTATTAGCGTTTGCAGTAATCTTACTGATGCAGGTATGTGTTTTTTGGATAAATTGGTGGTGAAAGAGAGATAGAGAGAGAGAGAGAGAGAAAAGAAGCTAATAATAAGGTGGAAGTGTGGACAGGTGACGATAGTGGTGCTACTGAAGAAAGGAGGAGGGGGGCAAGTGGAGTATCATGAGAGGTACGACGAGTACAGTGGAAATGGGGAGAGTTTGGGGTGGTTGGAGAAGAGAATGCATTTCCTGAGGGAAGAGATTATGATGGTTGAGGATCGTTTGCAGAGGATGCGACAAGACCACGCTGCCTTGAAGGCTCAGTTCCACCATTTGGAACGCCTCGTTCGCCGAAACCAACAGTAAATTTTGTTCACCCTACTCTCTGTTTGTGCAGAATGCGGATGGATATATGCATGTATGTATGTAATGTATTTTCGGATGTTACTTTGCAAAGTTGTTATACCTACTCATATGAATATGAGCAGAGACTCTGTTAAACGAAAATGATTTAATCAATTGTATTCGTGTGTGCATTCGGATTACATCAAAGCATATAAACTTTGCAAGCAAAGGGGCAAAGGAAGCCTTCTCTTCTTGTTTGGGTAAGTACTTGTTCATGGCTTTTTGGGTGTTGTTTGTAAGGAAACTTTCCTAAACCTCAGAAGAGCATCTGTCAAACTTGCAGCTTCTAACATTGAACGATGCAATCAGGTGGATGAGGGCGCATTTGAGACTTCCCAGGAGAGTGTTGTGGAACACTTGCATCTCTATCAAAGATCGAATTCTCACTGGTGACTACACTTTCTCGCTATTGGATTCTTTCAAGTCTCAATCAATAAAAAAAAAACAAAATTTGATTATACATATTCAATTTCCTGTGACAAAATTTGCTTGTCAATGATGGATGATCACATTTGATAATAGGAAAGAAAAAGAAAAAAAGTGGGTTTTAAATCGAGTCATACAAGGGTTGAATATTGTTATGCAAATACCCACAGAAAACCACTAAAGGCAGCAATGAAAAACAATAATGTTGGGAAGAGATAGTTGCCAAGGATGAGGACCTCATCACGGGTAAACCAAATAGGAAACGTGAAAAACAGAATAATAACCAAGGGAGCTTAATTACAGACAAGACACATTCGGGGGGGGGGGGGGGGGGGGGGGGGATGTTGTGAAGGAACCAAGTACAAGTGAATTGGAGCCTAGTCAAAAGAAGGAACACTTGTTCTAAGATTGGAAAGGATATTGCTAGGCTGGTCAATTCAATCAAGTTGAGCAGCAGCCGTTCTTCTGTGCCATAGGCTGTCCTCTGATCTGCACTGTCGGCGGTCTTGCATTATTCCCAGCTGGTTGGCTTGCCATTCTGCATCCAAACCACAGATCAATTTCTCTCATATATCACACAAACGCACACTCTTTACATTGATTTACTACAACGAAAAATAAAGCTTCTACTTGAATTTTCAATTTGAACACTGCAAGGTCAACATCAGTCTGCTCGAAAAGTTCCATTTATTTCCCTTTCCGATACATGTTTTAAGCAACACAGTCATTTAGTTATTTCACTGCAAGCTCACTTACACAGTGATCACTTGCTGAGATCTATATAAACACTTAAGAGATGATGGCTTCACAAAAGTTCTATCAGGTCTAATGAGTCTTATGAGCATATTAACTGCAGTTACTTATAAAGAATGAAGTAAGATAAATACCTCTCTTTGATGGATGCAGACATTGCCATGAAAGCCTGTTCTACGTTTGTAGCATCTTTTGCACTAGTCTCCATAAAAGGAATCCCAATTTCATCGGCAAAAGCCTAGGAATATTTCAAAATAATCAGGAAAGCAATATTAGCTTTACAGTTTGATAACTTTCAAAACTTGAGAAGGAGAGTCGGAAAAGAAAGAATGGGTTCAAGTGGCATATACCTTGGCCGTTTCATAAGGAACGGCTCTGTTTTCAGTAAGATCAGACTTGTTTCCGACCAGGAGTTTGTTCACGTTGTCACTAGCATAACGATCAATTTCACTCAACCATTGCTTGACATTATTGAAGCTTTCTTGATCTGTGACATCGTAGACAATCTACCAGGTTCAAGAACTAAGTTAGGAAATCAACTAAAGAGTCAAGGGAAGAAACCAACAGAGAGAAACCTAGATAAGGGGTAGCTTACAATAATTCCATGTGCCCCACGGTAGTAACTGCTAGTAATAGTCCTGAACCGTTCTTGACCAGCAGTGTCCCACTGAAAATAAGTGAAGAGGGACAAGTAAATATAAGGTCACCACTGAGAGTAGTTAAATAAGAAGCTAGAACAGCAACCTTGGTTGAAATGTGTGCTATCATATGATATGAAGACGGGAGATATAATTAAGGGAAGATACGTAGAGCTATAAACTTAAGAAGTTTGTATTGTTTACACAGCAGTAAAAAGAGTTACATACAATTTGGAGCTTAATCGTTTTCCCATCTTGCTCCACAGTCCTAATTTTCTGAAGAAGCGATATAAAAAGGTCAGATCAAAGCCTCGGCATCAGTCACAAGAAAAAAACAAAAAAACATGAACTTACAAAATCGACTCCAATAGTGCTAATGTAACTTTCTACATAAGAATCATCCTGAAGCAGAACAACAAACATGAGTTATTCAAAGCCACATGAGCAAATGTAGAAAAGCTACAGTGTTTGATCTCTGAGAAAGAAAAAACTTACAGAAAATCTCAAAAGAAGACAAGACTTGCCTACGCCAGAATCCCCGATAAGCAGGAGCTTGAAAAGATAGTCGCTGCAAATCCCAAAACAGAAAGTGACGCTAATTAAACCCTAGGTTTCTAGATGTAGCGAACCACCCGTAATCGCAGAGAATCATACATAACAGAGATAATTTCGACCCAAGTATGTGCCGAAGGAGAAAGGAACTTACTACTCAGGATTCATGGTTTCGATCTGTGGGAGGAAGAGCAGCGAGAGATCTCTCTCTCTTTCTCTCTTGCGGGAGAGAGAAGAAGACGAGAGGAGGAGATTCAGTTATTGGGCCTTGAAATAATAATGAGCGGAGGCCCAATAACGCCGAAGTTTAAAATTCATTCTTCTTTCACAAGTTAGGGCTGCAACTTTTTGTTGTCTCTCTCCGGGGATGTTGTTTCAAACATCGGAGCCCCAAAACCACCTGGCTGGAACCATGCATCCGAGTCAACTTTGCAATTTCCGTCGGAATGACTCATGAATCGTGCAACCAAGGAGATCGTTTTGTGGTTCCCAGATGTTGGATCTACGAGTCTTCTTGATTCATTTGTCCAATAGTGTGTTCTCGGCATTGGTTGCTTGCTTTTGATCCAAATCTATATTTAAGTTGGAACTGTAATCTTTTCTTTCGATTGGGATTGTCTTCTACAAACCAAGAAAAAATATACAATTTTGAAGTATAGCAAGTGAGACCCTCTGAGAACTAAGGTTTAATAAGTAGGAGGTTAAAAGAAGGCAAGTCTTGGACTCGGGTCACATCTTCCAGTAGAAGCTCTCTCTCCAGTTGATGCCTTGTCGATTTTAGCACCGTCTGCCAAACAAACACAAATGTACGTACACTCAGTCGCTGATCAGTTGCTCATCGATCTTTTTAAAGTCAAGATATAGGGAGGAGGGACGAAGCCTACGTTAAAATCCATGTAGGAAGCCCGCATTGTGAGCCACACTTATCATCCATGAGCTTGAACGCAATGCAATACAGGATATTAAAATGCTGACTCGTTTTCTAAAAACAATACACCATCCCAATTGTCAATATATATGGCTTCACGCTTATCTCTCTTTACCCAAAGCTGCTTTAACTAACCTGCTAGTAATTTCAAGAATGTTTCCCCGACCATCTTCCGTGGTTTAACTGTCAAACAAAAAGAACATTTACTCAACGACAACTACTGCTCAGATATCATACCATGGAGTTGTTCCTCTGGGAAGGCTAACTTCCACAAAGCCCTCAGAGCTTCCTACAGATAGAGATGTGAACCCATCAATTCATCATTTGTATTGACGTTGTGATCCCCACTAACTAACTATGAAAAAGTACCTGGTGTTGAGGAATACAAGTATACAACTATCATAGGGAACATATACACGACTTTGCAGCCTCTGCAAGCAGTCCTCCTACTAAAATAAAACTCACACAAATCAATCTGGATGTGAAAGCTGACTAAATCTGTATATAACATCATAATCATTTAAATCTCGACTAATCCAGCTGACTTATACATTAGTTTATACTTTGTACTTTAGATATATCATATTCATTGTTTACATCGGCTTAAGGGAAAGAAACATGCATATCATACGTACATTAAGTAAAATCAGATGAATTAGGGAGAGTGAATGATTTGCGGTAAGAATACAGCAAGTAAATGGTTTAAGTATATAGGCTGGTTCAAAAAAGGTAAGAAAAAAATAAAACTTCACATGGGATGTTGACACAAAAAGGACCAACAGTTGAGGTAGAACATCATACATACCCACTTTCACCCAAATCCAACAAAAATTGGACCACACAAGCTGATCCCATAGGCCTCGATTATTAGCTTTCTTGCTTCCTTTTGGCGCCTTCTTCCTCACCAATCATACCACTTACCTCCTTCATCACTTAATTTTCCGCCTCGCCTCTTCTTTGTTTAAAACTCTTTTTGGTGTATCCAGAAACATTCCACAAATGTTACACCTACTCCTGTTATTATCATTCAACCACATTGTACACTTTCTTCCAGTTGTAGTAGGCTTCTAACAGAAAATTGAAGTTACAACTAGATTCCCTACTTTTTAGGAAAACTATTTTTTATCAAACTCTTGAATGTGTATAAAATAGATTTTTGGAAAACTAAAACCACAAACCACAACCATTAGATCAGTAGCCATTATTAGATCATTAAGAGTTTAAAAGTTTACAAGTTTATTGTAACGTTGCTGGCCGGCGTTGAGAAACTCAGAGCATAAACTTACGATCTCGTCTTCGTTTAGTTTCCTCTTCTCTTCTGGAAGCTCAAGATCAAGCAGAGAGTATCTACATACAATTGTACGTATTCTTTATCGGAATCTTTAGATTCTTCGGTCATCTTTCTCCAGGAACATCGGATTTAAATAAATTTGTACACACAAGTTCAAAGTGACTATAAATGTTGAAGACGAGGACGTAATAACTCGTTGCTTTTCAATCTGGCTTTCAATAAGAAACGATGTCGACAGTATTACAACACACAAAAATAAAGTAGATCTCTATTGCTGCGTTTCAAAATTGCGGTTAGTATTACGCTTCAGACTGAACGTTTCTGGTCTTGAGACCGAAGAGATTCTTGAGCAAATCCGCAGTGTTTGGAGGAATCTTTGCTGGTCGTGGAGCCATGAAGTTGACAATCTTCTCATGAACATTATACCTGTTTCGTTTTTTTACAAGGCATGTTTCAAAAGAGAGAATTAGACCTCCAAGAGTTGAAACTATGTGAGTTTTATTTACCTGATCTTTCTGCTCTTAGAGGCACGTCGATCCACAATTTTCCTCTTCTTCGTCTGAAACTTCTTCATCTCGTAGAAAGCCGCCTCTGCCAGTGGCAAAAGATTGAGATTTCAGAATACCATAAGACTCTTTACACTTGAGTTTCAACACAAGCAAAAAAAACACTTGATTATCGCTAGGGGAATTTTCATATCTAATGATTCCAGTATGTATTTTTTACTATACCCGAGGAAGCTGGATCGATGGTCTCAAGAAACTCCTTTAGTAACTGCCTATAGAACTCAGCATCTTCCACAAGTTCAGGGTCTCCTTCCTGTTGTTTTTCCTGAACAAGAAAGAGTACACACATGTTAGAGAATGGGCATCAAGATAATCACAATAAGACTGATACGTAAAATGATTTGATACTCTCTAGCTTGGTTAGAGAAAACCGTGATTATACCTCTGGAATTGGTTCTATGGCCTCCCGAGGGACCTGTGGATGTGTAAATTTTAAAGTCGGAACAAACTGTAGAGAAGCTGATGTATTGACCACCAAGGCCACCTTAGATGCTTTAAGCTTTTATTATTAAAGCCAAAACTTACAATTCCAAAAACAGCGACAGTAGATCTTGATTGTTGCATTTGTTTAATCATTCTACTTGGATCCCTCATGTAGGAAGCAACCTGTTCACTAACGTTCTGGTTTTGAAAATTAATTCAAAGTTAGATTCCTGATTCATACCCAGCTGTATAAGAGGAAAATCATCTTCGGGGTTTGTTGTCTATACCTGGTTAAAGGCGTGGAGCTTTCCTTTAATAGCAGCTGCACCAGTTGTAACTTGTGTTCTTCTCTGCCATTTGTCCACAGCCTTGTTTCGGAACACAGACATTCTACATAGCAAAGACCAATTTTGTGTTAACAATGAAACATAAATGGTTATTGGGACTGGTCTCCAAATGAAGTCAATCATGTTTTTACTAAACAGAATTTTTTGCTCGGACAGAACTTTAAGCAGAACAATACCTTTTCTGCAAGTCATATATTCGCTGCCATTCATCGCTATCTTCTGCATCTGATTTATTGGATTCTGCACTAGCTGTTCCTGACCAGATAGAAAAAAAAGAGATGTTATATTGACCCTCGCTTATAGTTATAATAATTCTGTTTTCTGTTAAATATGGCATACCATTCACTTGTTGATCAACCGAGGGGTTCTTCTCAAACAAAGCCTGCAGAAATCAATATTTGGATAGTAAGAGTAAACAAAGGTGGCAAAGAGACAAAACACTAAGAGACAGTATACAGTTACTGAATCAAGCCTATGCATACATACCTCTTGCAACTCCAAGAGGGAATCTAATGTCTTCTTAGATGAAGTAACTAGATCTGTATATGCTGTTGAGACATCCTCATCTTCCGAACAAAAATACGATTTCACAGGCTCCTGAAAAGGACTACCTTGTGTCATAAGCATGATGAAGCAAACAACAATAAATAGAAGAGGAGAAGAGCATAGCTTCCCTGTGGCAATCTGTTAGAACGATCAAATGCTTTCTGAAGTAAGAATCTGAACTCCAGAGTTTTATCCCAAAGAGCCTTCACATAGAGCACAAAGAAAGAATTGTCTAATACAAAAATTACCTCTAGATTAACTTCATTAACATAAAATAGGAATATACAACCGCAACTGATTTCTAGTAAGACTAGTTCACAAACCGTAGAACAAGGTCATACCTTCTGATTCTTCACCGCTTGACCTTTAACAGCATCTTCACCCTTATCACGCTTCAAGTTCTTCAATATATCCCTATACAAGGAAACGCGTACAAGAATTCACTATGTTAGAAATAAAAAGTATCTAAAACTGATTAGTTCAATGTCTCTTACTGTTCTTGTGAACGAAGCTCCATGTACTCTTTCTCAAGCTCTTCCATCTGAGCATCTTTATTGTCATCATTACCTTCATCGCCACTCTCACTCTCTTTATCATTTCCATCTTCAAAGTCCTCGCTTTCTCCTTCATCATCTTCCTCGCTATCTCCTTCATCATCATCTTCCTCGCTCTCTCCCTCATTATCTTCCATGCTATCTACTTCATCATCCTCTATCCCATCAGGTAATTCATCATCTTCATTGTCGCTTTAGACCTTGGTTTTAAACAGCGCGCCATACATGAGCCATGGCCGATGCACGAGGCGGTCAAGGCGAGCGCCTCTTGTTTTCAGGCGAAGAAGATGACTAGATTGAACAGGATAAACCATTTTACGAACCTAGCCGGTTAATACATGGTTCAATTTAAGTGGTTTGGTAGCCTAAACCGACTTGAAGTTGAACCATTAGTTAATCAAACCAAATCAATCCTCGGTTTATCTTAAATTGAACCGGTTCTGACCAGTTAGAAGTTTATTTAGTTTTCTAGGACTCAATGGACCGGCTTGGGCCAGTTGTGGCGTTAAAATATGACCCTGTTAGCTAGAAAACCAGACAACATGAGCCTGTAACATAAGCACAAGTATATGATTCAATGATCTTTTGTTTTCCCAAATTCGATTGTTACTATTGAAAAATAACAGCACATGGCCACACAGAGCCAAAACATTGTTCATTTTCAATACCAACATATAAGATTCGACGCAAAAGCAGCATACTAATGGAACTCAGGGTTTTCAAACTAACAATACAAGAAACTCGCATGAATGAACCAGAGACATAAAAACAACCAAATTTCAGTCACAAAGTCCTCAAGCTCCCAACAAATTCATCTCGTCTTCACATGTCACATACTGATTTCTTCTCTAGATAGGCTTGATTTTGAAATGCAGAGAGATGAGCGAAAAAACAAGACATTTCAAGTCCTGCAACCATGAAAGTTTCAAAAGGAATATGTTAGGGCACAAATAAACACAGAGACTGAAAAAACAATACCAACTACAGAACCATTATCAGCTGATAGAGAACAACAACAGAAAATGCCTCCCCTGCAAATGGTTTCATTAACCAGGTAACGGTTGGGTGTTAACAGCCACACCCTACACTGTGAATAAGTGAAAGAGGCAGAGTCCTAAACAAAAAAAACTACCTATAGAGTTCAGGGAATAGGTCTCTGGATAAATGAGAGCTTAATAAGTTATCCTAAAAAAAATGATGGCAAGGCAAGGGGTGGAAGAGAGAGAGAGGAGACCTGAACAAGATAGTAGAAGATGCGAAGCCCTTCAGGATCATTACTGCTCTGGACATCAACAAGAGATCCAATCTTAGATGTAGCGAATGAGATATGCTCATTACCCAAGACGATCTCAAGCTCTTGCTTTCCAACACGGTCAGGTTCCGGCCAATTGTTATCGTCTTCTTTCAGAATCTACCCACAGACAAAAAGGCACATGTCAGGTTGCAAAGCCAACACATCCATGGAAAGTAGGTAAAAATCATCCACTATTCCTAGATAACAAAGAAGTGGGGGTTCTAAATCTACAACACTAGTCAATCAATCAAACTCCCAGGATAAGATGCCCTAGATCGACAAAAACCCTAATTGACTAATATAGCGGATTGACCAAAACGCGGACAGTAAAAGAAAAAAGAGAAGCAAATCGGAAGAGAGAGAAGAAGAACCTCGCTCTCGGAGACGATACGCTTGCATTCCTTGAGAACGGCGGGGGTGAGAAACACCTCCTTCCGGATAATAGTATCGTTCTTGTAGTTAGAGTTGTTGGCGTAACGGAGCTTACCGTCCTCTCTAAACTCGAACTCCAGGAACTCGTGTCCAAATTTCCCTTTGTGACCGACATAGTACCTCAGGTAGAACTCCGTCGCTTCTTCCGCGGCCATGGCTTCTCTCTCTTTTTTCCTCGACAGAAATATGCTCTCCTTCCTTTGCCCTTTTAAGGCCCCGCAAAAAAAAAAAAAAAAAGTAATAGGCTTATTATATATAGGCCCAGATTCTTTGGACCCATTTGTAACCCGAAAAGTGAAGGCCCATTTTTTAATTTTCTGTTTCCATCGAAAGCGTTTGTTTGTGTATTCGGCTGCCTGATTTCCGATTCCCCGATACAGAGACGAGACGCCGACGGATTCGAAAATGGCCAAGTTTCTTCAATCCTATGGTAATTTCTTCGTCGTCTTAGGCGGCCAGATGATCTCTTTTTCTTATATATATATATTTGAAAACTTCGATTGGTGGGAGCAGGATATGATTTGATTCTGGGATCTGTAGCTGCAATTTATGTGGTCATGGCACCATATACTAAGGTGGAAGAGAGCTTCAACGTACAGGTAGGTTTTCAAAGTATTTAGAGTCTCACTCTTTCTCCGTTTTACTGAAACCGATTCACTCGTCTCAAGTCAATGCACGACATTCTTTACCATCGCCATCATTTGGACTCTGTGAGTGTCCTCTCTCTTCTTTTTCTTTTACTTCTCTGAAGCTTACCTCATTTTTACCGACTTCTCTCTTTTTTTCTATCAGTATGATCATTTGGAGTTCCCTGGTGTTGTCCCTCGAACTTTTATTGGTAAGGACGGCTGTTGAATTTCGCTCTCATCCTTAGTGTTCTTCTAGTGGATGATTCCACTCTGATTTTTTCTTGCAGGAGCCTTCATTGTCTCTGTTTTTGCATCACCTGTTGTATCAATTATCAGCTGGCTTGGCTTCCCCAAGGTTTATAGCCTTGTTGCAGGTTTCTCCCTTTAATTCCTTAATCAATCGCTAACCATTGTCCTCTTGGATTCTAAACACTGACCAAACCAGTTCACATCATAGTTTTATCATTCTGACTTGCAGCTCGTTTGGTTTTGGGCTGCATCATATTGTCCACACTAAGATTTTTCCGGATTCAGGTATGAAGTTTCTTTGCTAGTAAGTTCCTCTAGTGCTTGTTTCCATGCTACACTTTCCCTATCTGATTCTTTGTCCCTTCCCATGTCGTTGGAATTGGGATCTCTTACATGCATCTTGTTGGCTGTTTTTCACTTCTTTGTCAGATAAGAAATAAGTTTGGACATCAAGTGGAAACTTTCTTTGTCCTTTTCACCAGTCTTCAGTTTCATTTTCTTTTCTACTGCACTCGTCCTCTACCTAATATTCTAGCTTTGGGATTAGGTAATTACTTCTATTCATCTTACTCTACTAGTAATGGGATGTCCTAGCACTCTTTCCCATGTCCCATCTAGCCTAGGCCTTTTTATGTGCTGCTAATGTTGTGAAATCCGGATTTTGCAGTTAATCTGGCATATGGTAATTGGTTAAAGGGAAACTTTTATCCAGCTTTGAGTTTCCTGGTATGTATTATCTTCGTTGTAACATATTTTCCCGATTATTTAAATCTATAATATCAGTCATGCTATCCACAACTATGGGTTTGCTGACATCTCTTTTATCCGATAATCAGATTTTTGCCACTGTAATCTTCAGATGCGATACGATGTTACTACTTGGGCCTATTGGTCTTGAACTTTTATTGGTGAGCTGGTGACGAATATTAAATAGTTTGGGTTATGAACTTCTGCATGTGTATAATTGGCCGTGTACTTTTTCGTTCCAACTGATGCGGGTGCTTTACGTTTGTCAATGACAGACCAAATCGATCTCCTTCTGGAAAGCACTTAAGTATTGTGTTGGAACCGCTCTGTTGGCCGTAGGTTGGTTAAAAATCCCTCTTCATTCTGTGATCTATTTGCTCTTTCCCTTCAGACACTAGTTCCCGAGTCAGTTTTTTGTGGTCATGGAATATTCCTTAGCACAGGTCTTACCATTTTCGTTGACTCTATCATGTGGAAGAAGTGTGTCTGGCCAGAATTTGAAGTTTTCTGGTTTAACTCCATTCTAAACCGGAGTTCTGACTGGGGTGTATCCTTCAAAATTTGTTTCCTCAATTTATTTATTATTCGTATGATGCATAATGTTCTAGCATTTTTCTACTGCCTGATTAAAGGATTGCGTTCTTAACAGTAATAACCATTTGGAATTTCCAATTCAAAGTTTAATAGTGTGGCACTTGCAATTTTAAGAAATTATGTGTTGTTCCTTGAAAACTAGTTGCTAAACTAGACACATTCCATACATTGGTACTTCACCTCGGCACTCCCACGGTCTTTACTTGTAGCTTATCCACTTTCATTGGTAAATACCAGACCTCCTAACATCTGTGATAGTGTTTGTCTTGTTACTTTCTAGTTAGGATCTCTAATTGTATCTCTATATAATTTCTCATTTGTTTTCTTTTTATGCAGCTTGGTACTTTAGTTGACAGGAGGGTTCCATTCTTTATTCTTCCAGTTTTATCGTTCGTTATACTATACTCTAAACTTCCACACAAGGTAGTCAGATGGATTACTTATCTCAGTAGCCATCAACGTTTCTTAACCATTTTCTGACATAGGCTTACCTATCTTTCTTGATATATGCAGGAACTCCGATTTATCATTAGTTCAGTGCCGATGTTCAACTTGTCTGCTGCAGTTGCTGCTAGCAGAATGTATGAATCAGATGTTTGCGAGCTAAGCTTTCAATCATAGCGAGGACGTTCTTTTATTCAGTATCTTAAGAGCTCTTTGGATACACTTAATTTCTGAATGCCACTTTAAATTACTACTAACGAGGTCGACCTCTTAATATAATCCGATTTTGTTGTACAGCTACAATAATAGGAAGAAAAAGATTTGGAAACTGGTGAATATGGTTATGCTAGCGTTTTTTGCAATCAGGTAGAAATAGTAAGAAATTATTTTTGCTATGGAAGAGAAGAAAAGAGATTTGCTAGTCTACTTAACCTGGTTATATAGTGCAGGGTGCACGCTTGTAACATTCATGGCATCTTACTACAATTATCCTAGCGGCTATGCTTTGAATCGCTTGCATCAGATAGGTGAGTGACTTATTCTGTTATGGGGGTTTCTTATTAATGCAGCAGCATTGACTTGGGTACCAAACAAGAAACATATGCTGGTCAGTGTTTGTTTGTCCCCAAGCCATAAAAGATGCGTAATCATCTTTATTTTGTGGTGTTCATCTACCTTTGGTTGATAATTTGCCCACAATAGTAATTAATTTACTTGGTGCCTTCCATGTTTCTCAGGCCATCCTGCAAATGTAGCTGGAGGAGAGTGGGTTCACATAGACACTTTTGGTGCGATGAATGGAATATCTCGCTTTTGTGAAGATGCTTTTCCGTGGAGGTATGTTAGCTGTCCTACCTCCGTTTTAGTGTTGGTAAAAGTAAAGGAAATATCAATGTACATGGAAAAAAGTTGCCACTCGGAAGCACAAGGCATCTGTTTGTTTTTCATGTTCATTTTCTTGGATACGAATATCACTTTGTTGGAAAAGGGATCATTCTCTATTGCCTTTAAATACATAGAAGAGGGTATACATAGAAGAGGGAATCTGTTTAGCTAATTAGGAGGAGAAAATTTTTTCTTGTGCAATGCAGATACTCAAAAGAAGAAGAGATAGTAGTGGAGGAGTTGCGAAACCGAAATTTCACGTACCTGGTGAAGTGAGTATTTCATCATATAGTAGAAAACAATTCATAGTAAAAAAAAAAAAGGATACCACTGGTGGTCAACATGTAATACTGTTGTCATGCTTGGTGCAGCGAGCGCCCCTCTGTAGATGGATACAAGTGCTTGTTCTATGAAGAAGGCTTTGAGAGACTTGAGCTGCGGCGAGGCTTCCCTCCCATTGTCCTGGTAAATCGGTGGGGGTGAGGCTAGTATTTCATCAAATTAGGTGCATGGAATGGAATGTAATGTAATGTTGAATTGCAGGTAAAAAAGGCCAAAGTATACGTGCACCGGGATATGAAGAAGGAAGATCCTTTTCATAAGAAATGGCCTGGATGTTAGGCAATTCAACAAATAGAGACAATGTTTTGGAGAGGACATGATGTATTGTAACGGAGATGCATGCACTCACTGTTTTAACTCTCGCTTGTTACTGTATTGGATTCAACAAATTCATCCAGTTTTTACTTTTATCAAAAAAAAAAAAAAAACAAATTCATCCAGTAGCATCATCGGCCTTTGGCTTGGGCCTTGAGTTACGTCACGATTGAATTGATTGGTCCTTTTAATTAGTTTTACCAGTTTACCCCTCGTTCTTTTCCCTCTTTTCGTTTAGGAAAACAAATCATTCGCTTCGACTTATCCGAAACCTAACGAGTAACGACGAGATGCTTCTTCAGGCGGCGGTGCAGAACCGCAATGTTCCACTGGCTTCTTCCGCCTCCTACTCCCGTCTCCCTCGCTGCAGATCTCCTGTCGTCTCCGTAGCTCTCTCGAAGAAGACGGCAGCAATCGTGTGCTCCATCTCCCAGGTCTATGGCTACGGCACGGTTGACTACGAGAGAAGGCCGATTATCCAGTGGAATGCCATCTACAAGAAGATTTCTCTCATGGAGAAGCCGGAGCTTGGCGCTGCTTCCGTCTTGAATCAATGGGAGAAAGGCGGCCGCAAGCTTACCAAGTGGGAGCTCTGTCGGGTCGTCAAGGAGCTTCGCAAGTACAAGCGTCCCAATCAAGCTCTCGAGGTCCGTGTCCTCCTCGCGTCTCATGTGCTCTCTTGATTGTGTATCTCTTGATCTCGTTTCGTTTTCATAGGTGTACGACTGGATGAACAACAGAGGCGAAAGGTTTCGATTGTCTGCAAGTGATGCTGCAATCCAGCTCGACTTAATCGGCAAAGTGCGTGGCATTTCAGACGCCGAACAGTTCTTCCTCACGCTCCCTGAGAATTTTAAGGACCGGAGAGTTTATGGTTCCCTCCTCAATGCCTATGTGAGGGCCAAGTCGAGAGAAAAGGCTGAAGCCCTGCTCAACACCATGAGGGACAAAGGATACGCCCTGCACCCGCTTCCCTTCAACGTCATGATGACTCTCTACATGAACCTTGGGGAGTATGACAAAGTCGACGCAATGGTCTTCGAGATGAAGCAGAAAGATATACGTCTCGACATTTACTCCTACAACATCTGGCTCTCCTCTTGCGGCTCCTTAGGATCAGTTGAGAAAATGGAACTAGTGTATCAGCAGATGAAATCGGATGTTTCCATTAATCCCAACTGGACCACCTTTAGCACAATGGCCACCATGTACATAAAGATGGGTGAAACTGAGAAAGCCGAAGATGCCCTGAGGAAGGTTGAAGCAAGGATTACTGGTCGTAATCGCATTCCATATCACTACCTCTTGAGTTTGTATGGCAGCGTTGGTAACAAGAAAGAGCTGTACAGAGTCTGGAACGTCTACAAATCTGTTGTCCCGAGCATTCCCAATTTGGGTTACCATGCCTTGGTCTCGTCGCTGGTGAGGATGGGAGACATTGAAGGGGCCGAGAAGGTATATGAGGAATGGCTTCCAGTCAAGTCTTCTTATGACCCCAGGATACCAAATCTTCTGATGAATGTGTATGTCAAAAACGACCAACTAGAGAAAGCTGAGGGGTTGTTCGACCACATGGTTGAAATGGGAGGAAAACCAAGTTCAAGTACGTGGGAGATTCTAGCTGATGGTCATACCAGAAAGAGGTGTATTCCAGAGGCTTTGATTTGTCTGAGAAAAGCTTTTTCGGCTGAAGGGTCCAGCAATTGGAGGCCCAAGGTGTTGATGCTGTCGGGTTTCTTCAAGCTCTGTGAAGAGGAATCGGATGTTACCAGTAAAGAGGCCGTTTTAGAATTGTTGAGGCAGTCGGGGCATCTTCAAGACAAATCTTACCAAGCACTTATCGATGTGGACGAAAACAACAGTGAAATCGATGCCCATGAGACCGATGCGCTTCTAACACAGCTACAAGATGATTTGTAATCAAATAGTCCTAGATCTGGCTTTAAAAGACGTATCTTGTAACCGGAGTCAACCGAGGAAATGCGATATATATAATGTACACAAGAGACTGCCTAGTGAAACATGAATGTAAGAGCTGTGTTCTTACATTTTGTGACAACTATTTGGAATTAGTGTTGTTGCTTTAGGGAACTGGAGTAGCCTTTGTGATTGTTGTTACTTGTTAGACTAATGGAGGGTAGGCCGTGCTCTTTTATTTTGGGCCGGACGGATAAAAGGCCCGCTATTGAATATATAAGTCTGAGTGTCTCAAAGGCCCATCTCCGTTAAGATATCTTCGCGGAACATCCTTGAGAGAGAGAGACGGTGATCGGGAAATGGCGACGAAAGGCGAGGCGGCGGCATACCCTAGCGCGGCTCGGATATCTGACTCTCCATGTTATCTTCAGTACTCTGCTTCTCTCAAATGTGAGTCATGCTCCTGATCTCACCCTTTCTGATTGTTTCGAGGATAGGATTTGAGATGTTTTATTTCTAATTAGTTTGCTCCCTACTCAACACCGTTTTCTCCCTAGCATTGATTAGATCTCATCTATTTCATTTCGTGGGTTTAATCCCATTTCTTAGAGATTGGGTTTTGGTAGACAATGATGTAATAAATCTTGATTAGATTTAAGGTCCCATCTATTGATAACGTCGGGTTTGACCCCTAGATTTCATAATTGAACTCTCAGGTCTTGAAGAATTTGGATCAGACAAGAGTAAATGCCAGGATCATTTTGATGTGTACAAGGAATGCAAGAAGAAAGAGGTTGTTGTTGTGAATGAATGAGGCTTTGGTGTTTATTGCTGCTTACCTATGTGTTTTTTTTTGTTTCTCAGAGGGAAGCTCGACTGGAACGCAATAAGACACGGTCGTTGTTCTCGTGAATGCAGATCCTCGAATACCAATGATGTCTCAGAACATCACCTAAGCTAGCAGTAGCCTGTTGTTTCATTTGCAATGGTGTTTCACATGCTGTGTTTGTCTAAGTAAACAAGTGGAAAGTGTTTGTTAATGTTACTTTTTTAGTCTCCATTGGTGATGGTGGATACCTGTTAAACTTAGAGATTAGTTAGAGCTTCTCCATATTGAATAAGAAGAGAGGGAGGGACTTGTAATACCCCACCTGCTTGCTTTATCTCTCATTCTTTACTTTACTCCAGTAGTGAATTGGGCTTAATACTGTTGTTATATGGGCTTTCTTTGGTGAGCTGTCAAAAAAGTCGGAAGCCTTTAATCGCCTTTGACGACGTTTCTTTACGTGCGCCTCCTCTGATTGACTGCATCGTCTTCCTCACGCGAATAAGAAGAAGATTTGGCGATCGGATTCTTCTTCTTCATCTGATTCCGAGAATAATGTTCCCGCCACCTCCCTCAAGCATCTACGCTCCTCCGATGCTGGTGAATTGCTCCGGTTGCCGGACGCCTCTCCAGCTCCCATCCGGCGCCCGATCTATTCGCTGCGCTCTCTGCCAGGCTGTTACTCACATCGCCGACCCTCGCTCCGCCCCTCCACCTCCACCTTCCTCCGCCTCTTCTCCGCCGACCCAAATCCACGCCCCTCCCGGTCAGCTACCTCACCCCCATGGCAGGAAGAGGGCCGTGATCTGTGGTATTTCGTATCGTTTCTCTCGCCACGAGCTCAAAGGCTGCATCAACGACGCCAAGTGCATGCGCCACCTTCTCATCAACAAATTCAAATTCTCCCCAGATTCAATTCTCATGCTTACCGGTACACTATTTCTATCTATTCAATGCCTATATTTGCTATCCTTGGATTTTGAATCTGATCAAATACTATTTTCCTTGGCTTTTCAATCTGATCAAACACATTCCAAGTTACCATTTCGAACCACTGTGATAAATGTGTTGAATTCCACAGCTTGACTAAATAATTGTTCATCATGGATGGTTTTCTCAGAGGAAGAAACTGATCCATATCGTATCCCGACCAAGCAAAATATGAGAATGGCATTGTATTGGCTCGTACAGGGATGCACTGCAGGCGACTCCCTTGTCTTCCACTACTCTGGTCATGGTTCTCGTCAAAGAAACTACAACGGTGATGAAGTTGATGGCTATGATGAAACACTCTGTCCTCTGGATTTTGAAACTCAGGGGATGATTGTAGACGATGAGATAAACGCAACCATTGTACGCCCTCTTCCACATGGGGTCAAGCTCCATTCAATTATCGATGCTTGCCATAGTGGCACCGTACTTGATTTACCGTTCCTATGCAGAATGAACAGGTTACTAGTCCCTCAACCGCTGCTAAAAGGGAAGTTGCTTACCTTCTCGTTATATTTAACAGACATCCATATTTGTTATTGAAACAGAGCTGGGCAGTATGTGTGGGAGGATCATCGGCCTAGGTCTGGTTTGTGGAAAGGAACAGCTGGTGGAGAAGCCATATCAATTAGTGGATGTGATGATGATCAGACTTCGGCCGACACATCAGTAAGTAGAACGAGTCTAATCATACGTCTTCGTGTTGTAGTTGGTTCCTCTCCTCATGATTAAAACATATACACAGGCGCTGTCAAAGATCACGTCTACGGGTGCTATGACTTTCTGCTTTATTCAAGCAATTGAACGCAACGCACAAGGCACAACCTATGGAAGCCTTCTGAATTCGATGCGCACCACAATAAGGAATACAGGGAATGAGGGTGGTGGTATTGGTGGTAGTGGTGGAGTGGTGACGACTGTGCTGAGCATGCTTCTGACAGGGGGAAGTGCGATTGGGGGATTAAGACAAGTAAAATCCTTTCTTACTCTGTTGTGTTGATACAGATTGGTAATGCTTTCTTAAATTAAATCTGTTTTTTGACAGGAGCCTCAACTGACTGCTTGTCAACCATTCGATGTCTATGCAAAGCCTTTCACTCTCTAGTAAAGACAAGTCACTTTTATGTATAGCGAGTGTGATTTGAGAATCCGTCCATTTAACCTTTTGTTTTGATTTTTCTTTCAAAAGAATTAAGGAAAACATTGATTTGGTGATTCAATAACAAAATGTGCCATCTATTCTTTAGTCTTTACAAACAACAAGTAAATGGTTTGCCTTTCAGAATCAAGACTTAAGGTGTTTCTCGAATAGACAGAAGGAAGAGAAGAGAAGTCCCAGAAAGCTGTTCAGTAGGCGCATACACATCATGTATGCATTGCTGCTGCAAGGAAAAGCACTTCCGCTGTAGCAGCCTTTTCTTTGTTTGATGCCCCGGCCGTTATCTTCCAGAGCAAAGGAGGAGTTTGTCACACCATCGCTAAAGAGAAGGCACCAAAAGAAGGTACCTTTATGCAACCTTGCCATTCCCACTCCAACCTCGGTATGCGACCTGTTTCTGAGCACCGACAACGCTTTGTTATCTCTAAAGAGAATGTCTGAGAAAGCGACTTCTGGGGCTGCATACTTAGAGCTGCAGCCGAGGATATGGCCAGTTATGGTACCTAAAGTGGGGAGTTCTACACCACAGTTTGGGGCAAACACCTGAGTGAAGTCGTCTTCAGGGGGGTCACAGCTGAGAGTGTTGTTGACATTGCAATTCCCCTCGCAGAGCTCAACATACTGGAGGGCCATGCAGCCAAGACCAGGACTCTCATTTAGTTTGCCGAGTTTCAGAGCTGTTCTGTTCTGGTTCAAGACCCCCACCATTTCATGAGCTGGGTTTCCTGCAACCATTCTAGCTAACACTTAGTCCGCCTAATATGAATCAACATAATATTAAACTGTCGAATCTGGTTCTAAAGAAAGAAAACTTGAGAGAAATCACTAAATCAGAGGGAGTGGCTGAATTCAAAATAAAGCCTGGCCAGATGCTGAACGAGAATTCCAAGTATAGCCAAGGAGTTACCGTGCAATTTGGAGCTAGCTAGCTCTGATGAGAGTGATAGAAACAGTAAAATCGACTTCAAAAAGCTAATTCCGTTCTTCATTTCGGAAAAACTCTCGTGTTTTAACCTCTGAATTCCCTGCGTAAATTGCTCAAGCTGGCGGATTTCCGAAAAATCCAGAAAATGAAAAAACAAAAAAGGAGATTTTTTTGCAAAAGTAGATGAGCTTGATGGAGATGGTGACTGGTCAGTCTGGTCCTAAAGGAAGAATGTGTTGCATTATTTCTTTTCTTATTAAAAAAACAGGGATTTTGATTATTGGGCTTGAATTTGATGTTGGGCTCAACCATTGAAATTGAATGAAGAAAGAAGGAAAGTACGTGACTCGAATTTCATTTACTTCATTAAATGGGCGGCGTTGGGGCCGGTGGAGGTGGGCCAATGACATTGATGTGTAAACAGAGGTAAAGCCGAATTTTGGCAAAGGCAAATCAATGCCCACTGGCTCCTCTCCTTACATATTTGAAGTTTGAGGTTTCTTTCCTTTTCTTTAAATAAATGTTGCTGTAACATTTCTGCTATTGTAAAGCGGGCTCCACCACCATGTGCTTCTTCAACAGAGTCAGCAGTAGCCCACATGGTAATGCCTCTATATAACACTATTATTAGGGATTATTATGTCATGCACATTCTAAACAAGTACCTCCAAATTGCACTTCCTTCAAACTTCTTCGACAGTAGACTAGCTCAAGTGCCTTTGGATGGCATCGAGGCCCGGAGCTCTTACGGAGTGGCCATGGAGTCCCCTTGGTAGCTTCAAGTACCTCTTGGTGGCCCCGTTGGTGATTGCGAGCATGCACTCGTACGTGACGGCTGTGGATGAGGAGAAAGACCTCAGCAGACTTATGATAGTCGTGTTGATGCTGTGGAGAATAGTTCACAGCCAGATATGGATCAGCGTGTCTCGCCAGAGGACAGCTAAGGGAACGAACAAGATCGTGGACAAGCCCATTGAGTTTGAGCAAGTGGACCGAGAGCGCACTTGGGACGACCAAATCATCTTCAACACTCTCCTCATGTATCTCGCAAACATCAAGCTCCCAGGCGCCTCCCACCTTCCCCCCTGGAGACTAGATGGAGCCATCCTCATAGCTCTACTTCACGCTGGTCCCGTGGAGTTCCTCTACTACTGGTTCCACAGAGCTCTCCACCACCATTTCCTCTACTCTCGCTACCATTCTCACCACCACTCCTCCATTGTCACCGAGCCCATCACGTGTACGTACCTTCATCCACCATTTTATTCTATTCTATATATATATATATATATATATCCATTCATATATTTACTCAAACTTGGCAGCTGTGGTGCACCCCTTCGCCGAGCACATCGCCTACACACTACTCTTTGCCATACCCATGGTAACGGCGTCCCTGTGTGGGATCCTCTCCATTGTTTCCATCATTGGATACATTACTTACATTGACTTCATGAACAACATGGGACACTGCAACTTCGAGCTTTTCCCTAAGCTTCTCTTCCATCTCTTCCCTCCCCTCAAGTTCCTCTGCTACACCCCCTCGTACGTCGTTTGTAAAATCACTACTATTTATTTGGATTTGAATATATGCATGCATATATAACATGGCATCAAATATATATATGTTGAAGGTTTCACTCGCTCCACCACACGCAGTTCCGGACCAACTACTCTCTGTTCATGCCAATTTACGACTACATCTATGGGACGACTGATAATTTGACCGAGTCACTATACGAGAGGTCGTTGGAGAGAGAGGAAGAATCACCCGACATCATCCACCTCACTCACCTCACCACACACGACTCTATCTACCAAATGCGCCTTGGTTTCCCGTCCCTCTCCTCTTGCCCCTTATGGTCTCGATCCCCATGGTACCTCACATGCTTCATGTGGCCCTTCACTCTCCTCTGCTCATTTTTCCTCACCTCCGCTCTCTCCTCGCGCACCTTTGTCTTTGAGCGAAACCGTCTCCGTGATCTCACCCTTCACTCTCACCTCCTTCCCAAGTTTTCCTTTCACGTAAGCATTTTACACACATACGGGTTTACTTATTATGTTGGACTTCACACCACTATTTTCCAAACTTTCACACACAAAATACACATTTATTCTCACTTAGCTTTTCCGTACTACATAGGAAGGAAATAACCTTTAAAAAAAAACAACAACCTAAAATGAACAATAAATCTTTTCTCGTTGGGATACCTTTTTTAAGTTGCATCTAAAGTTTACTACTAATTTTGCCACATAAACATGCGGCGGTAGTATAAATCACTGCGCCACCATGAGTCCATCAACAATATCATAGAGGAAGCTATTCTTGAAGCAGATGAAAAGGGTGTGAAAGTAATGAGTCTTGGCCTGATGAACAATGTAAGTTAATTTATTTACTCTAAAGCCATCCTATATGAATAACTATTGGATAAGTACTGCAGCTAATTACACACGCTGGCAAAAGAAAAAAAGTTACTAATTAACACACAATTAATGAGAGGGAGGAACTAAACGGGTCTGGAGAAATCTACGTGCAAAAGTATCCGAAGTTGAAGATAAGACTAGTGGACGGGAGCAGCATGGCAGCTGCGGTGGTTTTCAACAATATTCCAAAGGAAACCATGGAAATTGTCTTTAGAGGAAATCTCACAAAGGTCGCTTTGGCTGTTGTCTTTGCTCTGTGCCAGAAGGGCGTTAAGGTTTGTGAATATATGAGGGAATTGGAATATACTCAGCTTCTCATATCAAACAAAAAATAATGTAGTAATGTGTATATATAGGTCGTCGTGTTACGCGAGGAGGAACACAGCAAACTCATCAAATTTGGGGTTGGCAAGAATCTGGTACTCTCTACAAGAAATGGTTATTACTCCCCAACGGTGTGGTTGGTGGGGGATGGAATAGAGAACGAAGAGCAGATGAAGGCAAAACAAGGAACCCTCTTTGTTCCCTTTTCTCACTTTCCGCCCAACAAACTCCGCAAGGACTGTTTCTACCAGTCCACTCCAGCTATGCGTGTTCCCAAGTCTGCCCAAAACATCGACTCCTGTGAGGTACATCTATAAATTCCTATATATATGTTACTTTTATATCATTAGCTGGTAGATGTGTTCATAATCTAATGAATGAATGGTTGTTATATATATATATATAGAACTGGCTGGGGAGGAGGGTGATGAGTGCATGGAAAATAGGAGGTATAGTGCATGCACTTGAGGGTTGGGAGGAGCATGACTGCGGCAACACTTGCAACGTCCTCCGTCTCCATGCCATCTGGGAAGCTGCTCTTCGCCATGATTTCCAACCTCTCCGTCTCCCACCATCTCATCTATGAGCTTTTCACATTCATATATCTATCTCCTCTCTCTTGATTAATCTACTTCCTTTCCAGCATTGATTGCTGTTTCTCATGTTTTTCTGTCGACTATATATATAAGTACTAGCTACACCTTGTTACACTTGGAGCCACGTGCTTCATATATGTTAGAAATGGCAAACAATTTCGTCGTTTGATATGCTTAATTAGTTAAATTTTGAAAAACTCAACAAAAATCTTCAGAAACAGTGATATGATCATTACATCTGAACTAAATAATATATGCGTGCATATTTAATAAAAACCAAAAAAAATAACATATATATGGGTGCATCATCAAATCAAAGTAGTTGCAAAAACTGGACGAGGTTTTACTTAAATGGTCCTTACCATGCATGGTCCACTTGCTACCTAACTAAGGATTGGTAGGGTGTGCGTATACGTCTGTAATTTGTGGCGGTGGGAGATGGAGTTACTAAAAACGAAACGTACAAGTGCTATTCAAAGCTCGCTTAAGGGGTTTGCCCTCTTAGTATTAGATCTAGATATTTTTACTTGTCTTTCATAGTTTCATTTAATGTCGGAGCAACAGACACTAGCTGGCGCTTCAACGTGCATGATCTTGATTGGCTAGTAGATTCCAACCATCAATACCTAACACATGCCCAACTTGGCTCATTAGTATTCTTTCATGGGTAAATACCCTTCCTTCCAATTATATCTAGAAATAAAAAAATGAAGCCATTCATTAACCGGTGCATTTCCTCAAGGCATGGATATGATCAGAACATCGATGAAGGTGGGAAGGGGTAATTAGCTGAGTGTCATAAATGAGGATCCATGTGGAGAGCATCGAATGGTAGTAGTACATGTTTGGTCTTAGCTGGCCCCACCACAAGGAATTGGACTGGTGGGAAGATAGGGGTGGTTTTCGTCATTCCACATATCTACCAATTAAGGAGTTTGATACCTTGCTATATAATGTACCTTGGCTAACAAGAGTTGGAGAGACACGGTCACACACACATATTACATTCGACAGTATAATGGCCACAAAACCAGGAGTCCTCACCGATTGGCCTTGGGCACCCCTCGGGAGTTTCAAGGTGCACTCTGTTTTCCTGTCTATTTAATATTTAGTAAAAAAAACGCGTGCTTATGATTGAATCCCGTTGCTGATATATATGTTTTTTCGACGTGGAAACAATACAATAGTACATCGTAATAGCACCATGGGCGGTCCATAGCACATACAGGTTTGTGACAGATGATCCGGAGAAGAGGGATCTCGGCTACTCCCTTGTATTCCCCTTCTTGCTCTTCAGAATTCTGCACAATCAGGTTTGGATCTCTCTGTCCCGTTACTATACGTCCTCGGGAAAGAGGCGCATCGTCGACAAGGGAATCGACTTCAATCAAGTCGACAGGGAGACCAACTGGTGCGTTATTCTTATTTTTTACCTACCTGCGTGCCTGAGTATATGTAATCAACTAATTATTAAATCCTGATATATACATATATGCGCAGGGATGACCAAATATTGTTCAACGGAGTGCTGTTCTATACAGGCATCTGCCTGTTGCCGGAGGCCAAGCAACTTCCCTGGTGGAGAACTGACGGAGTGTTGATGGCAGCGCTTATTCACGCCGGACCGGTGGAGTTCCTCTATTATTGGCTCCACAAAGCTCTCCACCATCACTTTCTTTATTCCCGCTACCATTCCCACCACCACTCCTCTATCGTCACTGAGCCCATCACTTGTAAGTCTTGTGTGCTTACCTTTGATTTCTACGCTGCCTATATATTTCGGATTTTTTTATTTATTATATGTAACATACATCGTTTAACGTCCTAACTATAGTAGCTAGCTGTTATATATCTGTGGGGCATATATAGCTATATATAATGTGATTATGATAAATGTATGCAGCGGTGATACATCCGTTTGCGGAGCACATAGCATACTTCATTCTGTTCGCGATACCACTACTTACGACGTTGCTAACAAAAACGGCGTCTATAATTTCGTTCGCCGGATACATAATCTACATAGACTTCATGAACAACATGGGACACTGCAACTTCGAGTTAATCCCTAAGCGCCTTTTCCACCTCTTTCCTCCCCTCAAATTCCTCTGTTACACTCCTTCGTAAGTCCTTTACAACTTATCTTCTGTTTCATATAGTACCAAATTTGTAGAACACAATTTGGCGTAATATAAGCATGCATTTACCAGAAACCATTCTTGATATATGATACAAACAACTAGTTAGTTCATATTAATTAATCCTCTTATGGCCATCATAAAATCTAAGCAAATAATAAAGCATACTAATTAATACAGGGTATATATGCTATTATGACAGAATTCCATACACATACTCTCCGTCCCTCTATAAAAAAAGGGATGACGTGATATTGTTGTATGCTTAATATGATCGTCAACCACCGAATCCCTGGACCACGGAAAAAGAAAAAAACTATTTAATAATATATATCTTTTATCGTTTTTTTTTTTTTTTTTTTTTTTTGCTAAATTGTAAATATCATATAAAATGAAAGTTAGGAATTACAGAGCAATTACCTAAATGTAAAGTAATCTTGGCAAAAAGAAATAAAAACAAGATTACAATCCATTTTGGAGAAAGATGGAGAATCCTACTTATCGGATCCAAAGAAGCATAAGCTTCTTCCATTTCTTTCTATGTCTTCTACCTGTTATGGTGATTCCTTTTATCGTTCAATTTCCCACAACTTTACGCATTGATAGCATCTTTAACCAAACATCCTTTGAGAACTATATATATCAAATTCATTAGTCGACATGTAGCAGGTGGTCCCTCTAAAAGCTTAAGTTGTATATATAACCTTCTTGATTTATATTTAGTTTTAAATATTGGTGTCTTTTTTTCGGTATCAATTTAGCGCAATGCTATTCTAAAGAAAATTCAATGGTTTATTGTTAGATTAAAATACATTCATTTTGGGTAATAAATTAATGGAGTATGAGAATTGCAGATTCCACTCGCTGCACCACACGCAGTTCCGGACCAACTACTCCCTCTTCATGCCCTTGTATGACTACATCTACGGCACAATGGATGAAAGCACGGATACGTTGTACGAGAAATCTCTAGAAAGAGGAGATGATAGAGTGGACGTGGTGCACTTAACTCACCTGACGACGCCAGAGTCCATATACCATTTGCGCATTGGCTTGGCCTCATTTGCCTCCTACCCCTTCTCTTATAGATGGTTCATGCGCCTTTTGTGGCCTTTCACCTCTCTCTCCATGATCTTCACGCTCTTCTACGCCCGCCTCTTTGTCGCTGAGAGAAACTCCTTCAAGAAGCTCAACTTGCAGTCTTGGATGATACCTAGATATAATCTACAGGTCCTCCTCATCATCATTAATTGATCCTTTTGTTTAACTAATTTATAAGATATTTGTAGGTTGGTTAATTTTCTTGCTGATGCATATATATATTAATGGTGGTATATGATGCATGCAGTACTTGTTAAAATGGAGGAAAGACGCGATCAACAACATGATTGAGAAAGCGATACTGGAGGCAGATAAAAAAGGAGTGAAGGTGCTTAGCCTGGGCCTCATGAACCAAGTGAAGAAGCCATCTCTAACTCTTTTGCTTTTACATTGGGTAGATGACGTCCGTAGAGTTAAACTTTTGGTGAACTGAAACAGGGGGAGGAGCTGAACAGGAATGGAGAGGTGTATATCCACAAGCATCCAGAAATGAAAGTGAGACTGGTCGACGGCAGTAGATTAGCAGCAGCCGTTGTGATCAATAGCGTACCCAAAGAAACTACAAACGTTTTGATGACAGGCAATCTCACTAAGGTTGCCTACACCATCGCCTCTGCTCTCTGCCAGAGAGGCGTTCAGGTCGTTTGTTTTCTTTTTTGCTCTGTTGTGATGTCCAATAAAAAAGACAATTGATGATGTGTTCATATTCTTTATGACACTAGGAGAAAACAAAAACCCAAGCTTTGTCTATATGTATTAATATTGCTCACTCATAACATTTTCATGTGAATGTCATCCGCAGGTCTCGATTCTGCGCCTAGACGAGTATGAGAAAATAAGATCATGCGTTCCACAAGAATGCAGAGACCATTTGGTCTATTTAACCTCTGAAGCACTCTCATCAAACAAGGTAATTAAGTATATCAATGCCCAATTAATCAAAGAAGCAGAACGAAAATATTCAAAGAGCTTATATAAAAAATATACTGAAGAGCATATTAATCAAAATAATTAATGGATTTTGGGTGAAGGTATGGCTGGTGGGAGAAGGAACAACTAGGGAAGAGCAGGAACAAGCCACAAAAGGGACATTGTTTATACCATTCTCACAGTTCCCCCTCAAGCAGTTACGTAGAGATTGTATCTATCATACCACGCCAGCATTGATAGTTCCAAAATCTTTGGTGAATATCCACTCCTGTGAGGTAAGTATACAAAACTATCCAATCCAACTAATTTCTTAGAAGAGGTCCTTATTAAAAAAATACATCTGCAGAACTGGTTACCGAGAAAGGCGATGAGTGCAACTAGAGTGGCTGGCATATTGCATGCCTTAGAAGGATGGGATATGCATGAGTGTGGCACATCCCTTCTTCTCTCGGATTTGGATCATGTGTGGGAAGCATGTCTCAGCCACGGCTTCCAGCCTCTCCTCCTTCCACATCATTAAAACTCCAACCTTGGAAGATTTTAGGAAAATGAGAGCTACACACTGTGGTGTGCTTCTTTTCCTCATGATCCAGCTCTTCCACACATGACTATGAAACATATATAAAGCGCACACATTTTAT